AAACCTGGTTTAATGAATCTGGCCAATTGAGGGGCCCCAGGGCCCTACCACTAACCAGGTCCCCTTATCCGGGGTCCTGGCTATACCCGGAGGGGGTCGGATAAGAGATACGGAACCGTCGGGGCCAAGGCAACCGTCGCGGCAGCACCACGTCCAGCCGGGGCCCTGCCCCGCGGTACAGCCGGGGCCCGTGCGCCCCGCCACGCCGGGGCGGAGCGCCGGGGGCCAGCACGCGGGCCGGCGGCGCGACCGGCACCACAGCGAGTGGCCCAGGGTGCCCTGCAAGCGAGTTGGAGAATGAGAGCGTGTGCGAGTGTGTGAGTGGTGATGATGCGGTGATGATGATGCTGCTGATGATGATGACGATGACGATGACGGTGACGGTGATGATGATGATGATGATGATGATGATGATGATGATGATGATGTTGATGATGATGATGATGATGATGCTGGTGCTGATGCTGATGCTGATACTGGTGCTGATGATAATGCTGCTGACGATGATGATGACGATGATGATGATGATGATGCTGATGCGGATGATGATGATGATGATGATGATGATGATGATGCTGAAGATGGTGATGATGATGATGATGGTGATGGTGATGGTGATGGTGATGGTGATGGTGATGATGATGATGATGATGATGATGATGATGATGATGATGATGATGATGATGATGATGATGATGTAAGAGTGCGAGCATGTGAGTGCGAAGGGAAGGGGTGTTCCTGCTCCTGCGCGGGGTGTCCAGAGAAAACAAGATACCCACTTTGGATGTGGGGACAAAGTACACCTCGCGGCTGAATCAGGATAGCGCGCGGCCAGATCTCGCCGCCAGCCAAAGTTCAAAGGAGCAGAGTATTGAGATTCAGACTTCTGCGAGAGGAGCAGCAAAAGCCCCGTTGGGGGGGGGGGCTGCTTGCGGCTAGGCGGACCGACACTTAGTAGGGTGGGCCCTCCTTCGCCTTGGGCTCTCCCTCTCTCTCTCTCTCTCTCCTTCTCTCGCTCCCTCCCTCTCGCCTCCTCCACCCCTCTCCCTCTCTCCTGCACTGCCGTGGGCTCTCGTGAGGCCGCCCGGGGTCCGGGGCCAGCTTCGGCCCTGCGCGGGCGGTCCTGCAGGGCCCTCCAGGGGGGCCGTCGGCGGCCCGGAGGAGGACCGAGGCCCGAAGGCGCACGGCGCGCACGAGGATCCCGGAAGGAGGTGCGTTACCAGCCTCGAACGTATCCCTATATCCCTAAGATTGACACGCCAAAAGGCGATGCCAATCTTAGGGATTCGCCATCAAAAACTAAGGGAACCCCTAAGATTGGCATCGTGATGAGGTGCCCAGCATAGGGATAGGGATATGTTCCAGGCTGGTAAATGCGGCGCGAGGCCGGAGCTCCCCGTCGCGCAGCTGCCCGCGGGCGTGCGGGTGGCGACGAGAAACGGGAGGCGCGAGGAGGGAGGGGGCGGGGGGTGGGGGGAAGCCATCACCGCCCACCAAACCAACCCAACCCAACCCGAAGGCCCCGATCTGCCCTCGGTTTCCAGTGGGGGGGGGGTCGGGGAACACTGACAAAAACACATATGAAGCCCGTCCCCCCCCCCCACTCGAGATTCGGGTCTTCGGGTTGGGTTGGGGTGGTTTGGTAGGTAGTGAGACTAGGGATGGGGGAGGGAACGGAGCTGGGAGGAGCGGGGTGGGGCGAGGAACCAGGAAAAGGGGGGACGAAGAGGAGGACAGAGGTGACCAGTGTAAATCCAGGACTCACCAACGATGTTGCAATGAACCCTCCATCCAAGCTCCCTCTGCGTAGGCCCCCTACAAAGACTCATCTTCACTGAAGGAAGTGCCCCGTTGGAAAACAAACGTGTGAACATCTGAACTGTGCCAGAACACCTTTCCTCGGATGTCAACGCCGCGAATTACCGTTACTGTTGCGCCGTAACGAACCCGAACCGCGATAAGACACCATGTCTGAGACTTCACCACCCCGAATCGACGTAGTTGTTGCGGCCTGGGGATCCGACATCGTGCCAAAACGCCGTGTCAGGGCCGTTCGCCATGAGGTCTTGAAACTGTTGGTTGTAAACTCTGAAAACGGATGTGCGCGGCGCCAAAGCCAAAACCGCATTCTGAAAAAGAAACTGGTCTCCATCCGTGAAACTGTTGCAATGTTGTTTGCCGAATGTGCGCGGCGCTAAGGCGAGAACCACATTTTGAAAACGACCCGCCCTCCATCCGTGAAAGTATTGCAGATGTTTATAGCCATTTCAGAATGTCGATCTGTAAACGACATTTGAAAAAGACCGATCCTAAATCAGTGAAACTGTTGCACATGTTTAAGACGGATGCGCGCGGCCGCAAGGCCAGAGCCTCCATATGTGAAACTTACCAAATTCTGAATCTTCAGGGGAATACATGGTGAGGAAGTCTCGAACGAAACGCCCGGCCCGACCTTCTGACTGGCCTCGGGGTGAGACACAAAGGACTTGCTCATAAGGAAAAGGAAGTGAAGGGAGAGAGGATGGGAGGGAAGAGGAGGCATGGCGGGAGTGACGGAGGAGGGATGAAGGAAGACGCAAATTTAAAGACGCTTGTGGTCCCTGGCGTTGGGGAGCCCCCCAGGGCCAGTGCTCGTTTATGTCAAAAGTATGGTTGCTGTTCGAGCCGGGCGAATCTAAACCTTAGGAACACTCGTCACAATGACAGGTGTGAAGTTGCGAAGTCCGTATCCAGGTTATGAATGGTCCTGTGGTCTCACTATTCGATGGTAACTCTGTGAAATACGACGTGTACGCGAGGTTGTCGGTACTTCCTTGTTCCATGTTTTTGTTGATTTGAGATCATACCGTCCATTCTCAGTCTGCCAGTATCATGATCCTGATTGATGGTACCAGTCCTGCCCTGAGGTCCTATATCTTTGCCGTCTAATCATTATCGTCGCCGTGCTACTCTTACCATATACCGTCCTCCTCCTCCGGCTCCTCCTCCTCCTCCTCCTTTTCCTCCTCCTCCTCCTCCCCTGGACCACCGAGCTTTTCTTCGCTAGTCTCCATCAAGGCCTTTGGCACAATCCCATCTCCAAATGGCAAATCGCTACTCTCCGCTTCCGCCGTGTCGCCTCTCCCTTTCCCTGCTCCTCCTTCCCTACGCATCCAGAGAAGGGCGAGCACAAGGCGAGGGACAAGAACGGGGGACGAGGAGGCAGAGGGGGAGGAGAGGGAAGGGATGGGAACTGCGGCGAGGGGGGAGATGGAGTGAGGCGAGTGCGAGGGGAGGCCCTCTCCCGCCCCGACCCCGCAGGCTGACTCTCTAGAGGCCTCCTAGATGGGGTCGGAGTAGATGGGATCGGAGGATCGCGACGCATCGCCGATACATCGGCGATGCATTGGCGATGTATCGGCAATGCACCGGCGATGCAACGTCGACATCGGCGGTGCACAGGCGACGTCGAGAGGCGGCGCGATCCTCCGCCCCCATCTACTCCGCCCCCATCTACCGGCGGTGGACAAACCTCCCTTTAGTCAACCTCCCCTTAGTGAAAACGGCCTGGGACCGAGACCGACGGACCTGGACCCGCAAAAAGGACGGCCGCGACGCCAGGGCAGGAGGTCTATCAAACCGACGCCGGACCTGGAGCCTATCGCGAACCGAAAACGGCCAATGCAGGGCGGGAGGTCTGTCAAACTCCGAATCCAGGAAGCCCAGACTCTCGGACTCTCTTTGGAGTCCCGAAACGGTGCGGTGGCACACCGTGCGGTGACCTCGAAATCCTCCAAGACCTCACCGCACGGTCCGTCGCCGCACGGTCTTGAGACCCTGGAGGCCCATGTCGCCCGAGACGCCTTTGGAGAACGACCCGAGTCCCGAAACCGTGCGGTGACCCCACGAATCCCCACCGACTCGCCACACGGTGCGGTCACCACCCCGTTCGGGGGCCCCCGAGACTCTCGGCCTCGCGCGCGTGGAGGAGGAGGAGGAGGAGGAGGAGGAGGAGGAGGAAGGAGGAGGAGGAGGAGGAGGGAGGAGAGGAGGATGAGGAGGAGGAGGAGGAGGAGGAGGAGGAGGAAGGAGAAGGAGGAGGAGGAGGAGGAGGAGGAGGGGAGGAGGAGGAGAGGAGGAGGCGGAGGAGGAGGAGGAGGAGGAGGAGGAGGAGGCGAGGAGGAGGAGGAGGAGGAGGAGGAGGAGGAGGAGGAGGAGGAGGAGGAGGAGGAGGAGGAGGAGGAGGAGGAGGAGGAGGAGGAGGATGGAGGAGGAGGAGGAGGAGGAGGAGGAGGAGGAGGAGGAGGAGGAGGAGGAGGAGGATACGATACGATACGCACACCCTTAGCGCCATGTTGTCTGATAGTCAAGTGAGTACTGTACTCACCCAGTGTCAAAATCGCGCAGCAGTGGGCCCTGAACATCCAAGACTGACTGGAGGCATCGTGACGCGGTGAACCTTCTCTTTGGAATGAGTGCCAATGCCGAAGCTCTACGCACCAGGGCCGCAGACAAGGCCCCGCACGGGGCCGTCCTGGCCCCTGCAGCCACCGACGCATAAGGTAGCCACAGGAGGCTGAGGCGAGGCGAAATTCAGGGTTGACCGCTTGCTTTCTTAGCAATGTCAAGAATGTTTCTACTGCTAGCGAAAACAGAAAACCTCTGAGACCCTGGGTAAATCCCCCGAGAGGCCAGGTATTCAGTTACTATCTGCTTTTCAGTGCGAGGAGGAGGAGGGGGAGGAGGCGGAGGACTCAAAGGAGTGGGTGAGAATCTGGAGGGCTCAGAAGGCGCGGGCCTACTAGAACTCGAAGCTGAGCTGGCCCCCGTCGGTCTCGAGGGAGTGTCTCGTACAACATTGCGTATATCGGGTATTTCCAAATGATGTCAGAGCGGCCGTCAGGATCATGAGAATCAGTCGCCAAAACGCTCGACAATGCCGAGCTCGAACCAATCTCAGGTAAGTTGAAAGCCGCTCGTACTTGATTCTCTTCGCTGAGTGTCGATTGCTCCAGAATGGCTCACTTCTGTAGGGCCTCCCAGAAGGTCTGGACCCCCCGCTCCATGAATGATGCTGGGGCTCTGCCGTACTTGCGTGTGGTCTGTGGCACTTGAGAAAGGCAAGCCAAGAGAGTCTGGCGGAACTTCGCGTCCCTGGTGGCAAAGGTGATCCTGCGACGTTCTTTCTGGAAGACCTTGTCCTGACGGCAAAATAGAATTAGCTCGCACTTCTGCTCGACTGAGTACCCGTCGCACTCCTGCCATGCTGTCGCGAGGTCGGTGTCATTCTGGGCTCCGAGACTGTCGCCGTACGTCAGAAGTCCTTTGATGGGCCCGCCCATCGCGTATACGCGTGGAGGTCCGAGGGTGTGCTCTTTGCCCTTTTGACTTGGTCTCGGCGGCGTAGGCCACGGTCTGTTCGCTCATCATCGTAATGAATGCGACCGTCATCGGGACGATGAGAGTGTCGAAGATGACCCCTGACATGTCGCGACACTGCTGGCTGAGCCTGAGGATCTGCTTCAGCATGAGCGCGAAAAGCGTCTTCTGCTTGTCGGGGATCTGCTCGGCGATCTGCTTGGACTCCTCTTTCGTGCCGCCCTCGATGCGGCCCTTCCTCCTCTCGTCGCGAAGGCCCTGGCCCCCGTCTCCGCCCGAGCCCGCCGCTGATCGTGTCTGCGCCGCCAGGACGCCAGGCATGGTGAGATAGTGTCGGAAGGGGTCTAGGTAGATGCTCGTCTTGAAGGTGTCGAAAGTAATCGATGCTCGATGGAAGCACTACGGAGCTCGAGCATAGAGGACAGGTCCATTCGTCTTTCTGCTCGGGCCCCCAAGACATGTGGGCTCTTCCCATTAAACAGCGACCATACCATAAGAATGTTTCAGATGTTTGCGAGCATTGTGTACATCTCTGAATATACTCATACAACTTGGGCACTGATTCGTAATAACACCACTATGAAGTATATATTTCATCGTATGTCCATTTGTTTGGTGTCCCATGAGAGCCCTGTAGGTGTCGAACTGGAGGCCACATGGGTTTCCCTCGGGGTCCGTGATCGTGCATGTGTATACATGTTCGCTTTTGGCTTCGGGGTCATGTACTTCGGGAAATAGGGTACACCATTTGTCGTAAGCCGTGAACGCTGCTGCCCTCAAGATCGAGGGGTCGATATTCGTAAACTCCTGGAACGAGTCAGAGTTGGGTTCGAATAGGCCTTCCACGAAAACCCAGCCGCCTCCCAAGCCTCGAAGAAACTCTCGGTCCCACTGATCCCCTCGTAAAGGTACAAACTGCGATGAAACCCGTTTGCCCAGGGATTCGCGTCGATACTGAGCTGTCCGTCTGGCAACAGCGTCGGTCTCTCCTTCTGTAAATGACCAAAGATCGCCGCGATCGTTTGGCTGCGGGCGTGACGGTGGGCGAGCATGCCTTGAAGCCACCGAATCCTGCGCACCGCCAGTTCCCCCCGAGCAGGGAGGATGCGACATCTGCAGAGCACCTCTGAATTCCGAAGTGTGCGAACGCGTGGCCCATCGTAGGAAGTGGCAGCACCCCGCAATAGAACTCTGAGGTATTTTACAGTACAGGAACCTATCTTCTGATATTCAGCTGGCTTAAGGACAAATGCTTCAAGACCCGCGATGCCACTTTCCACGACTTTGCCAAGAAAGAGCTCGCGCTTAAGCCGATGCAACCCACGCTCGTGCCAAAATGGACCTATAACAGACCAGCCCGCGTGCATGGAGCGGATTCTGCACTGCACCTCTGGAGCATTGGAGCCGTTCATATGATGTCGAGCTCCCAGATGCCTAGCGTGACTGCGCACGGTGCCACAGGACTCAGGGCAAATCTCCTGAAGGCGACGGTTTTCCCTTGTGGCTCCCAGACAGGGTGTGATGTCTTTCTTCTGCATATTCTGCTGGAAACGCCACTTCTCCAGGACCTGGTTCATCTTCGAGTCGCCTTCTCGGATTGCCTCTAAAGCCCCAGACGCCGAGGGGTCTTCTAGAATGCGTCGCCGAAATAAACCATCTGCAAAAAAAACGCCATTGAACAGTCTAAAGCCGAGTTGCCAAAAACTCCTGAAAGATATATGGGGGCCCCGTCGAGCTCGAGGATTTCGTCGTAGCACTGGTCGGAGACGCCGACGAATTGTCGAGGTGCCTCACATGACCCTTGGAGCCCCCCATTCTTGCTGAGAAATGCTTCAGGCTTGTTATTTACTTCAATTAAAAACCACGCTGTTGATCAGGCGCTGCTTCGCGAAGTCCTGTAGATCCTCGCGCACCATTACCTCGGAGGTATGGGCTAAAAGATCCTCAGTGGATGGACACAAGAAAGCGTTCGTCATGTCGTGAAGCTCGCATACATGGGGGATCCTGGCTTTTCGCAGAGACCAACTTAGTCGTAGTTGTACTAGTATGGCCCCCTCCCTCCTCCGATATTTCAGAAACCCATGCCATCGTCCCGAAAACGATTTGTCGTATGCCTCATCTTTATCCCCCAGCTGTATGGTACTGAATACCAATATTTCCAAAACACATCTGATAAATGCACTATCCGCTGGCTAAACATGTTAGATTTGCCGTTAGACTTGTCAAAAAAAAGGATCCCCTCAGCGATGCTAGACTTGGTGGGAAGCTGCCCCACCTCGAAGGACCGAATCAGCATATTTTCAAACTCCAGGCGTGCTCTCGTCATCTCAGCTGGTGTGGCCAAGATGTGTTCACGTCCATCAGGGGCTCGTTGATCTTCTGAGGTTTCTCGTCCCGGGTGGAACGTAGCTGGCTGCCGCGTCCGAGGTTCAGGAGGAGGAGGTTGCTCAGCTGGTACTTCCGATAGCGCTGCGTGAATGTCGAAGTCGAGGTTGTAAATCTCGGCGAAAGGGTCGACGTCATTCTCGTCGGCGGTTGCCCAGCGTAGAGGTAGCCTATCAGCATTGAGGGCGTGCGCTCCAGGCACGAAACTGCTGAGTGCAGTAGTCGATCCATCCAAGAGAGTCGGAGGATTTGGATTGCGTTCTGTGTGCCAGTTTTCAGCCTCCGAACTGCTCAGGTCATCCTCATCATAGCCACCCTCGCGGGGGAGGGAGACTCTCCGCCTCGCGAGGGGATCTCTGGCTCCGAGGTTGATCTCGCCACCTGTTGCCTCTTGGGCTGTGCTCTCCAGTCGATGCTGGCTCGAGTGTGGTGGTCCGAGATCCCTGGAGGCCTGGTCCTGGTGTTGTTTGTCCTGGGCCTGAGGTATCCAGCAAGGGGTCGCGGCGACGGTCGGCGGCGAAGCCTGCCGTTGATGGCCCAAGCCTGGTCGCTCATCTGGTGCGTCGTGATGGACAGAGGCGACGCCGTACCCCAGGCCGAACTTGGAATAGCGCTGCTTCGAAAGATGTCCAGGTGCAAGTACTATCAAAGCCAGTTCCGATGGTACACTCCACTTCGGCCCGCAGCGTCGGCCACGAGCTCGCCTTAGCTTCCAAATCATTTGTCGGACCATGACAGAGGCGGCGATCTCCGTGCCAGGGCTGCGACGCTTGATGATGGATGGTTCCTCCGAAAGGAAGTCGCGAAGCATGAGGTTCAAGTCGGGAATATGCGTCGCTTCCATGCCACCGTCAGATCCTTGTCGTGCGAGATGTCCTTGCAGTTCGTCCAGCGACGGCTTGTAAGAAGAAATGGTATTGTAACGTCGGTTCTTCACACCTGTTGATCGTCCAGAAAGTAGGCGTGCAAGCTTGTGAACTTCAGCCTGCTGGCCCAGAGCTCGTGCCTCGCGCAACTCTTGATGGAGGCGTTCACGGTGCGCCGCTCGACGCCGACGAGCCCAACGTCGGAGTTGGCCTGAGATGCGCTTGATCTTGGCCAAAACATCAAGGTAATCATCAGTAAAATCAGGAAGGTGTCCATATGTGTTCCAGTGCTCTGCTGCCTCGAGTCGGTGAAGCTTGCGTTGTTTGACCAGGGAGACTCGTTCTTGCTGTAGCCGATGTTCCGCTGTATCGGTAGACATATTTTCCAGTGCGAAATGTTGAAGGCCAATCTGCTGTACAATCTCCGCCCACCTGTCGTAGAAGTCATCGGTGTGCTGATGGTGCGCGGTGCACTCGCTGAAATAAATCTGTTTGTGCCAACATGGTTGTCTCCAAGTCGCGATGGAAGTCCTCTCTCCCAATGCCCGTCTGAAGTGCTGTAGAAAGCTTCTGAAAATCCCATCGTGCTTTCGGTGCCAAAGGTATCGGGATGGGGAGCTCATACTGTATTTCAAGAACGACAGGGACGTGGTCGCGAGGGGCGCTCTTGGGGATCAGCTGGAGGCTCCGACCTGCTTGACATGCGACATTACAATGGCGAATACCTGGCCCGAGACCTTTCGGAATGGCGAAGACGTCCAGCGTTGATGTATCTCCCTGGGCCCCAAAATATGTGGGTCCTGCTTTTGGCCAGAAGGTCCCTGGTGACATCATCCCGAGGTCGAGGAGCATCGTCGAAAATATTTCACCCGCGGGTCCGTTTGGTCGAAGATGATGGGGCCCTAGAAGGTCTTGGTGAGGAGGAGGGGGAGGGGGGCAAGTTAGGTGCGCTCGCGTCAACATCTGACATCCTACCCCTCCCTCCCATCCCTTACCATGGCGCTGATTTTCTCTATCCGCGGACGCGTGTCGTAGCGGACCTGTGGCTCCGCGCGCGTGTGCGTAGTGGGTGGTGGTGCGCGTGCGTGCGTGCGTGTGTGCGTGGTTGTGGTTGTTGTGGTGGTGGTGTGTATGTGTGTGTGTGCGTGTGTGCGCGTGTGCTGTGGTGTGACGTGGTGTGGCGTCTTGGTGGTTTGGTGGTGGGCCAGGTGCGTACGTGCGTGATGGCGGTGGTGGTGGTGGCGGTGGTGGTGTGTGTGTGTGCGTGTCTGTGTGTGTGTGCGTGTGTGTATGTGCGTGTGTATGTGTGTGTGTGCGTGCGTGCGTGTGTGTCTGTGTGTGCGCGCGTGTGATGTGGTGTGACGCGGTGTAGCGTGGTGGTGGTGGGTGGGGTAGTGCGGTGGTGGTGGCGGTGCGCGGTGGTGGTGCGCGTGCGTGCGTGCGTGCGTTGGTGGGTGGAAGTGGCGGTGGGTGTGCGTGCGGCGGGGCGGGGCGTGGTGCGGCGCGGTGGTGGCGGGCGGATGGGCGCGCGAGAAAGAGGCCCGCGCTGGGGCGAGAACGCCATCCTGAACGCGGAGGCAAAACACCGATCCGAAAATGAGGCCCACGCTGCAGCGGGAGCACGATTCGGAACGATTCGGGAGCAGAAATGAGGCCGGCGCCTCAGCGAGAGCAGCATTCTTTGAAAAAAAACGCAGGCGAAAACCCAACTCCCGGGAATCCTGTGTAAAAAAACAGTACGCGGGGGGGGGTCGAATATTCCCAGGACGCCATCAGGGGAAGAGGGAGAGTAGTATTCATATTGAGTAATTGTGGAGGAGGAGGGGGGGCTGGCGCCGGGAAGCCCGGCCCTCTCGTCGCACGGGGAGCCCGTCGGCCTCCTGGGCTCCTGGGCGTCACCCCTCTCTCGGGGGGGTCGCCTCTCGGCCGCGGCAGGAGGGCGGCTCGCGTCCAGGTACGTCGAGGCCAGCCCCTTCGCAAAGTTGAGGACGTGCGCTGCCACCTCGCGCGCGCTCCGGCGGCAGACGGAAGGGAGCCGTCGGGAAATTCGCGAGGGGTGGGCGCAGGCAGGGGGAGGCGGGGGCAACGTGCTCGGTCGTGGAGGATCTCAAGCGCACCGTCGCCCTCGGCTCTGCTGCCCAGGGTCCCTCCCTTGCGGTGAGGGTGTGGCATTCCTAGTCTCGACCGAGCAGGGGGGGAGTACGACCCCTGAGCCTCCTGCTGCTGAGCTGCGACGGCATGTGCGTCCTGGGTCGCACAGCTGCAGGGCCACTGTGTGGTACAGTCCGCTCTCATACTCATCCCTCCTTCTCCTCACTCATCTCTCAACCTACCTTAGCCCTTCCTCCGCCCTCCTTCATCCAACATATCCCCTCTTATCTCCTCCCCTCGGTCGCATCCTCTCTCCTCCTCGTCATCATGATCCTACAGCGTTATCGCATTTCCCCATGTGCCATAGCACACTGTCCAGTGATAAGACTGGTTGTCTTCCGGACCCTGTCGAGGGTGGTGGTCGATTCGGGTTGATGATAATTGGTAGGGAAGGGGAGTGAACGGGAGGCGCAGCATACACAAGGGCAGACGGAGTGCTCCAAAATGTCCCGAAAACTATCCCTGGAGTGATCATACAGCGCCCGTGCACGTGCCCCAGAAGTGACGGTCATGCCACCGTTTTCACACCCGCGTGGCCTGCCCCCGACCCCCCAAAGCGTCATCGCCCCGAATGCCAATGCTGTACCAGGGATGCTGCTCCCTCAATCTCGCCAGGGCACCTCACTTCGCACTTCGCGCTTCGAGCTGCGAGAAGCGCGAAGCGCGAAGCGCGGACAACTTCGCGCCCTCGCGCTGCCCCCCCCGACGGAGAAGGGGAGGACGAGGAGGAGTCGGAGCCGAACCGCGAAGCACGGAGCACACAGCGCCCTCGAGCGCGCCCCTGCCTCCAGGCTCGCTGCCCTGCCGGCACCGAAGCGCGGCAGCGCCCCGATGGAGAAACAGCTGCGCCCTGCTGCAAGCCCCGCGGGACGGGCGCCTCCTCCACGGAGTAGCCCTCCTCCCCCACGTCGATGCGGAGGCTGCCCGACTCGTTGACCCCCAGGGAAAAAGGGTAGAACCTGGCTGGTGGCGCACGTGAGACGAAGCCAGGGCGAGGATCGAGTCGGGCGAGGATGACTCGAGACTCTCCGAGATCCCGCGGCTCTGGAGGATGTCTCGGGAGTCGCGGCCTTCTCAGAGGGCTCCAGAACGCTCTGAGAGCGTTCCGGAACGCTCTGCAACGGAGTCATCCTCGTCCTGGCCCCGCCCGAGCGCGGCTGCTGTCAAAGAGAGAACTCCGCCCTGCCCTCCCGTGCGAGCGGCGCGCGCTGCAACGGTGCGGGAGCATGAGCACAGCTCGGACGGAGAGAGAGAAGGCCAGGGAAGACGCTCAAGGTAAAGAGCGCACAGGCTGCGAGAAGGGGCTAGATAAGGGGAACTCCCCGTCTGAAGGCCGGAAGCGAAAGCTCAAGGCACTCGCCGCACACGAAGCGCTTGGGCCGAATGCAAAAGCATGAGACACCCTTGCAAACCAGGCGGACGGCGTCAACCTGCAGTGCTGGCAATCCGCCGAACCCTGTGAGGTCAAAGGCATGTGATAATTCTCTCGCACCAGTCCCTTCGCACGCTCTGTGCCTGGAATCGCAGGTTTGAGGCAGCGATCCCAACTCCCGTTCCTTGCCCTTCCGAAGGACGTCCCAAGAAACGCTCAAGAGGCCGCCATGACGGCCACCCGATTGCAATACAATGTCTGGCACCACACACACAGCCCCCAATGCCCTTCGAAGTGTACAGGACCTGCCACAAGAGACTACAGGATGGCTCGTCGCAGCGCGTTCGAAACATTACGTGCCAAGATCCTGCCGGGTTCTACTTTTCGTGCCCCCAGAAAAAGCCCCAAGACGGCCTCGAGGGACGCCCAAAACGGTCTCGAGGCGCCGATGGACGGCCCACTTGGGCCTCGAGACGGCCCAGGAGAGCTCCGAGTGGCTCCCGAGGCCGCCCAACAAGCCCCATGGCAGCCCCAGGGCGGCCGAAGAGGGCCCCGAGAACCCCGAGGAGGAGGAGGGGAGGGGAGGACGGGGCCCCTGCAGCGCCGCCCAACGTCCGACGAGGAGGACCACCGCAGTCGGAGCAGCATCGGGCACTCCAAGGAAGCCCGGGGAGACCTAGGCAAGCTCACGCGCCTCGGTCTGAGGCGTGTGCGGGCGCTCCTCCGCCCCCACATCACAGCAGCTCCCGGGGCCCAAGCCGAGTGTCCGCGTCCTCCTCCCTCCCCATCCTCATGCTGCCACGCCACAACCCGTCCGATCCTCGTCCTCCCTCCTCCTCCTCCTCCTCCTCCTCCTCCTCCTCCTCCTCCTCCTCCTCCTCCTCCTCCTCCTGCTCCTGCTCCTCTTCCTCTTCCTCCTCCTCCCCCTCCTCCTCTTCCTCCTCCTCTTCCTCCTCCTCCTCCTTCTCCATTCCTTCTCCTTATAAATAGCTTCTCCCTGTCGACCCGGAAGCCAGTTTTTAGGGCGGGCCAGGCGTTTCGCCTGAGACTTCCTGACCATGTATGATTCTGAAGCTTAAAACAATGGCGGCAACGGTTTCACGGATTGGCGGCGAGTCCTTTTCAAAATGTGGCTCTCGCCTTAGCGCCGCGCAAATTCGTTTCAAACATGCCCACGAGATTCACGGATTGAGGGCGGTTCCTTTTCAAAATGTGGTTCTTGCCTTGGCGCCGCGCACGCTCGCTTTAAACATGTGCAAGAGCTTCACGGATTGGCGGCGGGTCGTTCTCAAAATGTGGCTCTCGCCGTGGCGCCGCGTGCATTCGTTGTAAAAAGTTATAAGGCCTTCACGGGCTGAGGGCGGTTCCTTTCCAAACTGTGCGCCTTTGCGCCGCGCACATTCGTTTTAAAATGTCCAAGGGTTTCGCGGATTGAGGGCGGTTCCTTTTCAAAATGTGGTTCTCGCCTTGGCGCCGCGCACAATCATTTTAATTGCCTGAGCTTCACGTCAGAAGTTTGCAAAAGTTCCACTGCTTCCCATAATCAACGAACGTACAAGGAATGGCGTTCTGGAAAGCTTCGGGATTATGCGGGCGCAACAGTTATAGGGGGCACGGGGCGGAGGTCCCACTGGGGCGCTGGGGGCGCGGAGAGGAGGGGGGGGAGGTGGTGTGCGTCGCGACGCGGAACAAAATGGTCGGGGCGGAGGGGGCATTGGGCGGGGCTTGGGGCAGAGGGCCACGGGGCGGGGGTCCAACTGGGGCGCTGGGGACTGGTGGGGGGGGGAGGTGGTGTGCGTCGCGACGCGGAATAAAATTGTCGGGGCGGAGGGGGCACGGGGCGGAGCCCCCACTGGGGCGCTGGGGACGCGGGGAGGGAGGTGGGGGAGGTGGTGTGCGTCGCGACGCGGAATAAAACGTTCGTGGCGGAGGGGGCAGTGGGCGGGGCTCCCGCTGGGGCGCTGGCGACGCGGGGGGGCTCGGGGCAGAGAGCCACGGCGCGGGGGTCCCACTCTGGCGCTGGGGACGCGGGGGGAGGGGGGGTGTGCGACGCTGAATAAATCTTTCGTGGCGGAGGGGGCAGTGGGCGGGTCCCCCGCTGGGGCGCTGGGGACGCGGGGAGGCTCGGGGCAGAGAGCCACGGCGCGGGGGTCCCACTCTGGCGCTGGGGACGCGGGACGGGGGGGATGTGCGACGAGGAACACGTTCGTGGACGAGGGGGCGGTGGGCGGGGCTCCCGCTGGGGCGCTGGGGCGGGGGAGCTCGGGGCAGAGAGCCACGGCGCGGGGGTCCCACTCTGGCGCTGGGGACGCGGGGAGGGGGGGGTGCGACGCGGAATAAAGTGGTCGGAGCTCTAGACACCCTGTGCAAGAGGATAAACCGTTGTAGGGGGCCAATGAGAAGGGAGCTCGGAGGGAGGGTTAATTCCGACATCGTTGATGACTCTTGGGTTTACATTGGTCCTGCATGTTCCTTATAGATAACTTCTTCATGTCGCACCCCGAAGCCAGTTTTTAGGGCGGGCCGGGCGTTTCGCCTGAGACTTCCCCACAATGTATGACTCTGAAGCTTGACTATTGGCAACAGCTTCACAGATGGACAGGGGGTCGTTTTCAAAATCTGGCTCTCGCCTTAGCGCCGCGCACATTCGTTTTAAAATTTACAACTTGCGCAAGCTTCACGGATTGACGGCGGGTCGTTCTCAAAATGTGGCTCTCGCCTCAGCGCCGCGCACACTCGTTATACAAAGTTGCATGTGCTTCACGGAGTGAGGGAGGTTCCTTTTCAACATGTGGCTCTCGCTTATCGTTTTAAACATGTGAAAGAGTTCCATGGGTTCCCATCATCCACGTGCCAGAAATGGTTCAGGATTGTGCGGGTGCAACAGTTATGTTGACTCGCTGTGTTGAAGTCCCAGGAATGGCGTTATGGCACGATTCAGGGTTGACAAGACGCAGCAGTCAGGTTGATCCGTGGCGCTGGAATCCCGAAAACAATGTTTCGGCACGATTCAGGTTCTTCAAACGGTTTTTCTTCCAAATAAACAATTCCTTCAATGGAAATGAACCGTTGTAAAGGCATATGGAGAGGGAGCTTGGAGGGAGGCTCTATTCCAACATCGTTGATGACTCTTGGGTTTACGCTGGTCCTCCTCCACCTCGTCCTCCTCCTCCTCCTCCTCCTCCTCCTGCTCCTGGTCCTTCTGGTCCTTCTCCCTCCTTCAGCCTCCCTCCCCTCCTCACTCCTCGGTGTAATTCGAATCTCTGGAGGCCGTTCGGGACCACCTGGGAACCCCCCAGAACGCCCACGGCGAGGCGCAGCTTCTGAAACGCGTCCCAGGGCTGGAAAACCGCCGAAAATCTACGACGAAAACCTCGGAAAACTGCCGAAGCCCGTCCAACATCCTCCTCGTTCTCCTCCTCCTCCCTCCTCCTCCTCCTCCTCCTCCTCCCCCTCCTCCTCCTCCTCCTCCTCCTCCTCCTCCTCCTCCTCCTCCTCCTCCTCCGGCCGTACTCCTCCTCCTCCTCCTCCTCCTCCGCCTCCTCCTCAATTCCTATTCCTTATAAATAGCTTCTCCCTGTCGCACCCCGAGGCTTGTTTTGAGGGCGGGCTGGGCATTTCGCCTGAGAACTCCGCACCGTTTATGACCCTGGAGCTTGAAAAAAGGCGACAGCTTCACGGAATGAGGGCGGGTCGTTTTCGAATGTGGCTCTCGCCTTAGCGCCGCGCACATTCGTTGTGAAAATTTGCAGGAGCTTCACGGATTGAGGGTGGCTCCTTTTCAAAATGTGGTTCTCGCCGTAGCGCCGCGCACATTCGATTTAAACATGCGCATAAGCTTCACGGAATGAGGGCGGGTGGGTTTCAAAATGTGGCTCTCGCCTTGGCGCCGCACACGTTCGTTTCAAAAGTTGCAAGAGCTTCGCGGACTGAGGGCGGGTGGTTTTCAAAATGTGGCTCTCGCCTTGGCGCCGCGCACGTTCTTTTTCAAAATGTGCAGGAGCTTCAATGATTGAGGGCGGCTCCTTTTCAAAATGTGGTTAACGCCTTAGCGCCGCGCCCATTCGTTGTAAGGCAATGCAAGAGTTTCACGGGTTCCCGTGGTCAACGTACACGACATGGTGTTCTGGAAGGATTCAGGATTGTGAGGGCGCCACAGTTACGCTGATTCGTGGTGCTGACTTCCCAAGAATGGCGTTCTGGCGCGATTCAAGATTGTCAAGACGCAACAATCAGATTGATACATGGCATTGGTGTCCCGAGAATAATGTTTCAGCATTCGTCAGGATCTTCAAACGGTTGTCTTCCAACGAAGCAATTCCTTCAGTGGAAATGAACCGTTGTATGGGGCCTTTGAAGAGGGAGCTTGGAGGAAGGTTTATTTATTCCGACATGACTGATCACTGTTGGGTTTACACAGGCCCTCCTCCTCCTCCTCCTCCTCCTCCTCCTCCTCCTCCTCCTCTTCCTCCATCCTCCCGCTTTCCTCCCTCCTTCCTTCCCTGCCTCCCTCTTCCTCTCCCTCCCCCCCTCTCGTGCCACCGAGCAGCGCGCCGAGGCCGTGGACCTCCGCGGCAGCCACGAGAGCTCCTCCTCTGGCACGGCCGTGAGGTTGCGGCCCAGCTGCAGGGGAAAGAACTGCCCCCCGCGGCGCGGGGAGACCCCACTCCTCCCGCTGCAGACATGCTCGCGGCGTGTTCTTTTTTTTGTGGGAATGAATATATTATAACGATAATTATAGTTATATATAATATATATATATATGTGTATATATGTATATGTATATATACATTTGTATATATATGTATATATATGCGCATACATATACATATGCACATACATACATATATACCTATAAATATACATACATACATACATACATACATACATACATACATACATACATGCATGCATGCATGCATGCATACATACAAACATATATAAAAAAAATGAATAAATACATAAGTTTAATAGAAAGTAAGGCAGAGAGAGAGAATATGTATAATGATAATTTTTATTGTTTTTAAATATATATATATATATATATATATATATATGTGTGTATAAACTTTTTTATATACATAAAAAACTTGTTCGTTTTGTTTTTAACGACGGGAGGCTTCTGGCCGTTCTCGGCCTCCGGGGGGGCCTCGGGCCCTGGGACCGTCCCAAGAAACGGCTCGCGGTGAGAAACGGGCCCTGGGGGGACTCCCGGGCCCCCCGCATCGAACAGGACTGGGGGGCCACATGCGAACCCGACCCCTACCCCCCACGATTTTTGAGGGGCAGGGTGGGGTTCACTTCGCCCGTGGCCTCCCGAGCAAAGTGAACCCCACCCTCCCCCTCAGAAATCGTGGGGGGTAGGGGTCGGGTTCGCATGTGGCCCCCTAAGAACGAAACAATCGTATGCCTGGGATCGCCTCGTGCTCTCGGGCCCCGCCGCGGGATCGCGCTGGCCGCAGCCCGCGGCCCGGCAGTTCTGCCCCAGAGGGCAGGCCCCCGCCCCTGACCGGGAGGCAATGTTGTGGCCGGGGGCGCGTGCGCGCCACACGCGTGCCGCGTGCGCGCGCCGCACTCGCACGATGAGCAAGCGCGCACACACACACACACACACACACACACACACACACACACACAACACACACACACACACAACGCACCCCATCGAAAACCCTGCACTGAGAGGAGAGGGGGAGGTGGAAAAGGGGGGATGGGTGCAGGGAGAGGGGGAGGGGCAAACTGGGTGCGTTCGCGTCATGTCTGACGTCCTACCCCTCCCTCCCATCCCTTACAATTGCATAGAGCCCCTCACTATTCACATAGTCGGGTGTCGATCGTCGAAGACGCCAGTGGTCCCGAAAGGGTAGAGGTAGAAGAGCAGGGCAGAGCGTAGCATGGCATATTATGGCGCGGCATTGCCTCGCCAAGCTTTGCACATCATGGCATCGTATCGCATAACATGGGACCGCATAATGGTGTAAGACATAGCACTACGTTACATACCATGGCGAGGCGAGGCACAATATGGCATGGCATGGCATTGCGTAGCCAAGCATCGCATACCACAGCATTGCAGAGCAGGGATGGGCACAGTATAGCGGCATCGCATAGCTGACATGATGGCCCCAACGATGCAGCGGAAGCACCTCTGAGCAGGACACAAACTCGGAAGTGAGGCCAGCGCCGCAGCAGGAGCACTGCGTCGAATGACCCAGAAGGCGGAACAAGGCCAACGCTACAGCGGGAACACCATGGAGAAAGACCAGCAACGCGGACATGGGGCAAAGGCGGCAGCGGGAGAAGCATGTTGAAGCATGTTGAGGAACCGAGCGCGCAGAAATGGGCCGCCGCCTCGTCGCCCGTCGTCTGGGCTCACGTTAGGAAGGCACCAACTATACACCAACACCGATCCTGGCCAGGATCACCCTGGGCCCAGGATCGGTGTATACGCCCTCCTGCCTTGCGCAAGAAGGCACACACACCGATCCTGGGCCCAGGGTGATCCTGGGCCAGGATCGGTGTTGGTGTGTAGTTGGTGCCCTCCGATCATGTGTCGTGTCCGCCTCGTCTGGGTTCGTTGGTCGGGCCCGCCGCTTTTCTGCCGCCGCCGCAGCCACCTTGAGGCGTGGCCGCCGCCCGTCGTCGGGGCTCGTTTGTTGGGTCCGCCGCCGCGTTGCCGCCCCGTCGCCGCCCCGTCGCCGCCCGTCGACCAGTTCGTTTTTGTACGCTCTGCCGCTTTGCTGCCGCCGTCGTTACGAGGAAGGCGGGAGGCAGAGGGGACGATTGAGAAATAAACGGTGAAGGGGGGAGAGAGGGCAAGGGGGGGAAGAAACGACGCGAGGGGAGAGACGTGAGAACACACGGACGACGAGGACGCGGAGGGGACGGAGGGGACGACGGCGATGACGCGGAAGGAAGTGACTTCGGCGAAGGGCGCGGAAAGAAGAGGTGTCAACCCAGGCAGGCACGAGCGGCCGCTCCGCGCTGCGCCAGCGGCTCCCGCCCTTCTTTGAAGGGGCCCCAGGACACACAAATAAATACACACAAATGACAATACTCCCCAGATTTTCCCATGTTTTCTGGGTCTCTGTCTTCCCCCCCACTTCCCATGTTTTCCCATATTTTCTGGGGAATCGAGGATTCATTGTGTCTGTGTGCTCATTTTTTCCTCCTGATTCTCGCGCGGCCACCGAGGCAGCCGTGCGCGCGCACGGGCAGGGCCGCGGTGGCGCGGCGCGCCGTCCACGAGCGCCGCGGCCCCCCCCGCTGGCGGGAAGGCAGGAAGGGGGCGCAGCCCGAGGGCGCAGCCCGTCCCGAAGAGCGGGCCCCTGCCCTCTCTCTGAACAAAGCTCGGCCCCAGGCTGACGTTGTGCCTCGGCAGTGCATGGCGAGGAGTGGGCTTCCTCTGCCGTCTTCCTCACTGTCGCCCCCCCCCCTTTGTTTCCCGCCTCACCGGAGGCAGTCGGTTGAGGTCACTGGCACACCTCGTCTCGACCGCCGGCTGGAGATGGGGGATGGACCGCTTCGCTCTGGGTTGCCACCAGCCTCGGGCCAAAGCCTACACCTGCTCGGCCACCTCGGCGTGCTGGCCGCACAGCGCCCCCGAGCTCCTCGAAGATCGCTGCCGGTATGTCTACGCCCGCCGCCTGCGCGCCCCTTTTTGGACGAGGCGCTGGAATAGCAATCGACGCGTGGCCTCCTCGACGGACTCGGCCTGCGGCTCCTCTCCGGCTGGCCCGACCTCCGTGGTCTCCAAGCCAAGTGCCTCGCTGGGCTGCGCTGCGTGCGCATCTCGCGGCTCCCGCGCGATCCTCTCGACCAGCGCGCGTTGCGCTCCAATGGCCGCCTCGAAGGCCCCCACGTGAACGCGTCCTGCCGCCTTCTCGACGTACTCGCTCGGTGGCACCTCCGCCGTCCTCATGAACTCCCCGGCGCCAATTTCGTGCACGCGGCCAGGGCCACGGGGCAGCGCGCCCTGCCCCGCAACCGTCTCCTCGAAGGGCACCGCGACGATCCTGTCGATGCTCGGTGGCCCGCCGACCTACGATGCATCTCACCTGCGGCACTTCCTTTCCCGCACTGCACTTCTGGTCCTCCCGGGCCTGTGCCAACTTCACCTCAACGGTCTTTCCGACGAGCTCCCCATGTGTCAGCTGTACCGCGACATGTTCCCCAACGCCCATCTCCAGCGGCGCATCCACGGGCGGCTGTCCCGACGTGTCAATCGCAAGATGTGGCAACCACCCTTGGCATGGCCGCATCGCCAGAGGTGGCAACCTGCCTTGTCTTGGCTGAATCGAAAGGTCTGGCAGCCTCTGTTGTCTTAGCTGAACCGCAAGGTCTGGCAATCTCACTTGTCCTCACCTCAATGGTCTTCTCGATGAGCGCTTCCTGCGGCGACTGCACCGCCGCACTTTTCCTTAACGTCCATAATTATCCGACGGCATCTCCACGACATTCTCTGCCCCGACCTGCGTGACACGAGGCGCCCTCCTGATCTCGTCGCCTGCGGCGGGCTCGCTCGGCGCGCCAGCGGCCACGAGGTTCGGGAGCGCGGGGGCCTGCTCGACCTCTCTGGTGCCACCCTTCACCGCGTCCACGCCCTCGTCCTCTGCCAGGCCCTCGTCGATGACACTCCGCAGCCACCGCAGAAGCAGGCAAGTCACCACGGGATGTGCTCCACGGGCGGCACGTCCGCGATCGCCTCGAGAACTCTTGGGCGACAGCCTGCAGCGCCTGCGCCGGGGGCCTTCCCGCGGCACCCTGCACGCGCCGGCTCCGTTCGGGGATGGACAGACCTTCCTTTAGCAAAACGCGGTGTAGGGAAAACGACCCGAGGCCCAAGCCTGGCCGCGGCGCAAGCCTGGAAAATAAAACGGCCGCGGCGCCCTCGCGAGAGCCGAAGACGGACCATTCACGAATCGACGTGTCACTGTTGGGGGTTCTGCACGCGCCCCGAACCGTGCTCTTCTCGCACTCGAGCTCTTGGGCGACAGCCTGCGGCGCGTGCGCTGGGGGCCTTCCCGCAGCACCCTGCACGCGCCCCCGGCTCCGCACTCTGCTCGCACGCCACGGGGCACGGCCCTCCGCGCGGCGCGCCGACCTCTGCACGGCGCCCCGTCCGCCCGCGGCGCGCGCCCAAGCGGCGGCACGCCCTGCGCCCGCAGACGCCCAGGCGGCGAGCCCGCCGAGGTCGTCGGGCCCGTTGCCTCGAAGCTCCGCCGCCGCCGCCTGCTCGAGGACCCGACGCGGGCGCGGGCGAGGGTCTCTCGACCCGGTGTTCTGTCGGGCGTGTCCCCCTGCAGGGGGATTTTCGAAACAAAAATAAAAAGTACCCCAAAAGTGCCCCAGAAAGGTCCCAGAATACTTTTTCAATTTTCGTCGAAAACCCCCCTGTAGGGGGACAGGCCCGACTTAAACCCAGTGTCGCACGCCTGCTGAGTCGCGTCCTCAAGCCGCAGGGGCCATCTCGACCCTCATGAATCGCTGGGGCGGGGGGGGCGGCCGACACCCCTCGGGCCCCTCGCGGCTCGAGGTGAAGGAAGCGGTGTTGAGCATGAGCAAAAGAGAAGCGGAGAAAGGAGGGGAGCAAAAAAAAAAAACAAAACAGAAAAAGGAGAAAAAAAAAACCAAAGAAAAATAAAAAAAAAAAGCAAGAAAAAAAAAAACCATCAGAAAAAAGCAAAACAAAACCAGGAACAAAAACAAAAACAAAAAAGGCAGAAAACAGAAAACAAAAACAATAAAGACAAAAAGAAAAAAAAACACAAAAGAAAAAAGAAAAATCAACAAAAAAGAGAAAAAAACAAAAAAAAAAAAAAAAAAACACAAAAACAAATAAAAGAAAAACACAAAAAATAAACAAAAAAAACAATACACAAATAAAAAAACAGAAAAAAAAAGAAATAGGAGAAGAATAAACACCAAAAAAAAAAAACCAAAAAAACAAACAGAAAAAAAAACAAAAACAACCAAAAGAAGCACCAGCCATCCGTCTGTCCGCGGGGAAACGGAAGACTCGCCTCGATCGTCATGCTCCGGTTCCTCGGCCTACCCTCTCCTCCTCACTCCCAAGCTCTTCACTCCTACTCCGCCTCCGCCTCTTGTCACATGACTGATAGTGATTACGATTGTGCTGATGCCATTGCCACCTCTCTGTAAGGACCCTCGCCGTTCTCCTTCATCCCCGCACCCCCCATCCCCCTGCGCCCCGACCCCTCGGGCGTTGCCAGAGGTGGCCATGGCTCAGGGTGGCCCCCTGCTTTTCCAGGGAGGCCAGAGGACCCCATGGGGACTCCAAAAAAACTTGCGGGAAGAGCCGGGGGCACACCTGGCCAGGCTGCCGGGACCACCTCTGGCAACACCCGGCCCTCCTGCCGTCAGCCTTCCCCTCTCGCTGATTCTCGGAGCGCGTGTGAGCGCCAGCGTGTGCGTGTGCACCGAAGAGCCCTTCAGTACGACGCAGGCGGTGCAGCAAGGGCCGACACACAGGCTGCGCGCGATCGGTGGAGCTGAACGGGGTGGACAAACACTGGGCTGAGACTTGGAGGCGGCCAGGGGGTCCGAGTCGGTTGGGCCCCGCGAAAGTGTAATTATCAAGAGGGGGGGGGGATACAGGCAAGTTCGCTCAAAATCGGTTCCCGGACCTCTCGTGGGGTCCATCTGGTGCAACGTTTCACCCCATATCCGTTTCTGGTGGTGATCCTGGGGCCCGAAGACGGCCCCAGAGACCGAGACGGGCAACAAAAAATGCTCGAGCCCAGCACCTCGAACCTGCCCCCCCCCTTCCTGCTGGCCAGAGCCCAGTGCTGGGCCTCCTCGGACACCCCGCCAGCTCCAAGCTGAGACACTTCCCCGAGATCGTCGGGCTCCCTCCGAGGGCCGAGACACTTCCCCGAGATCAGCGGGCTCCCTCCGAGGTCCCCGCGACCGCGGGTGTCTTCGCGGCACCCTTCACGGCGCTGGCGACGGCGTCGTCGCCGAAGGTCCTTGGGGCGCGACGGGCTCAGAGCGGGGCAGGGGCAGGGGGGGGGCTGAAGGGAAAAGAAAGGGAGGATAGAGAGAAACGAAAGCATACCCCCCATCCCCTGCCCCTATACCCTCTCGTCCTCCTCTCCTCCTCCTCCTCCTCCTCCTCCTCCTCATCCCTCCCTCCTCCTCCTCCTCCTCATCTCTCATCCGCCTCCTCCTCCTCCTCCTCCTCCTCCGTCTCCTCCTCCTCCTCCTCCCTCCTCCTCCTGATCACATCAGCATCACATCAGCATCAGCATCAGCATCATCATCAATCATCTCATCATCATCATCATCATCATATCATCACATCATCAGAAAAAAAAAAAGAAAGAAATCATCATCATTCATCATCAGCACCATCATCCCATCCCTCATCCTCATCCTCATTCCTCATCCTCATCCCTCAACCTCATCCTCATCACCTCATCCTCATCACCTCATCCTCATCACCTCATCCTCATCCTCATCCTCATCCTCATCCTCATCCTCATCCTCATCCTCATCCTCATCCCTCCCTCCCTCCCTCCCCCCCCTCCCTCCCTCTCTCCCTCCCTCCCTCCTCCTGTTTGCGCGGATACAAGGGCAAGGGGCACAGAGGAGCCAGCAAGCCACCCGCCAACGCCCGGTGCGCGACCGGCGTCCCGGAGAAGCCACCTCGGGCCTGCTCCTGGAGCCCCCCCTGCATGGGTGCAGCCAGCTCGGGGCACCCGCGTCGGGGCCGCCCAATGCCCAGAGTGTGCAGCCCGAAGGCTCCTGGAGGCCTCGCTCCAGACGCGGGCGGGAAGGGGAAGGGGGAGAAAAGGAAGGGGGAGGAGAGAGGGCATACAGTCGGACTTGATTGGAGAGGACACGCGAGAGGACACAAGACCCTTCCGAGGGCCACGTTGCCACAGAGAGGAGGCATGGGTCGCAAAACACAGGACACCAGGGTGCCCTTGATCTGGCAGGGTCGTCATACTAATCCGGGCCGCCTGTAGCCGACCCCCTCCCCTTATCCCCCCTCGGTGCGGGGGACCGCCTCCGCACGTCCCGCAGCCTGGCCCCGCAGAGGGCGAGGTGTGCCCAGGAAAGCGCCCCGCAGCCCTCCTCGGAAGCAAGAGCACGTGTTGAACGCTGATGGACGCGCGAAACGAGGCCCGCGGGCTCCGACTTTTGTGGTTGCAGTCGCCAGCTTTCGGCGCGAGCATTGAAATGTTGGGGTCCTGGGGCGACGCCACGTCGCGGGAAAAACCTGCGTTGGACTTCGAGGGAAGATGTGGGCCCCTTCCCCGGCAGAGGCTGCACCCTTCGGCGGCGCGCTTCGCTGCGGACGCTGCCGCTCGAGTGGCCGCCGTGCTGCTCGCGGGGCAGCCGTGGCCGCGCGCTCGCCTGGACGCAGCTCGGGGCGCCCCGCAGAGGACCTGACTACCTACCAGACCGCCCCAACCCAACCCGAAGACCCGAATTTTTGGTTGGGGGGGTAAGGGTTCCACATGTGTTTTCTCGATGTTTCCCGACCCCCCCCATTGGAAATCGAGGGTAAATCCGAGCCTTCGAAATTCGACCAAAAAAGAAACGAAAAAAAAAAGAAAGGAAAGAAAAAAAAAAAAAAGTTGTTGGGGTGGCTTGGTGGGTGGTGAGACCCTGAGATCCGACCGGCTGAGGATGAGGAGAGGGGGAGGAGTAGATGCGGAGAGGAGAGGGAGGGAGAAGGGGGAGGGGGGAGAGGGAGGAGAGAAGGGCGGAGGAGAGGAGGAGAGGCGGAGGAGGAGGAACAGGAGGAGGAGGAGGAGGAGGAGGCTGAGGAGGAGAGGCGGAGGCGAGGAGAGGGAAGGAGAGGAGGAGGAGGAGGGAGGAGGGAGGGAGGGGGAGGGGGGAGAGGCAGAGGGAGGAGGCGGAGGAGGAGGAGGCAGAGGCGGGAGGAGGATGAGAGAGGAGGGAGGCGGAGGAGGAGGAGGAGGAGAGGAGGGAGGAGGAGGGGGGAGGAGGGAGGAAGAGCCCGGCGTGCCACGGAGTGCCTCCTGCCGGGCCCCTTCCTCGGCGTGTCGGCGGCCCCCTTACGGCGCGGTCGCACGCCGCGCGCCCTGCTGGCTCGCGGCCGCCTGCTGGCTCGCGTGGCACGCCGTGGCCGCGCCCTCTGCCCGGGCGCCGCTCGGGGCGCGCAGAGCGCCTGCTGAAGCAGCGGGCGGCGCGCCCTCCCCGCCGAGGCGCGGCGGCGCAGTGCGTGCGCGTCCGGCAGCCTGCCCCGGCCGCACCGCACCGGCAGGAGCCGCGGGCGCCCCGACAGGGGGCCAGATGCGAGCCCCACCCCTACCCCTACACGATTTCTGAGGGGGAGGGTGGGGTTCCCTTCGCCCGGGAGGAGGAGCAGGAGGAGGAGGGAGAAGGGGGAGAGGGAGGGAGGAGGACGAGGAGGAGGAGGAGGAGGAGGAGGAGGAGCTCGGGAGCTCCCGAGCGAAGTGAACCCCCACCCCCCACCCCCCCTCAGGACTCGTGGGGGGCAGGGGTGGGGTTCGCATCTGGCCCCCTAGCCGATCGCGGTGAGGGAGCAGCAGCGCGGCGGGTGGGCAGAGGGGGAGAAGCGATACGCAGGGGCAAGGAGGAGGGGGAGAAGAGGAAGGAGATCGAGAGTGGGAAGCGCATCGGGAGGGGCGCCTGAGTGTACATCATGACAGGTAGGCTTCGATCCCTCGGGGCCCCGAACAGCCATGAACAAAGCGGACACCACTAGGCTTACAGACAAAGACACATCGAAACATGACGATACGCACGTGTGTGTGTGTGTGTGACATCACCCGTCCTGGTCGACCCGTAGAACAAGGATGCGCGATGAGGATGCAAGGGACTTGGACGCCCGTCTCGAAACTTTTCGAGGAGGAGGCGCGGCCAACGACGGTGGCCCCAAGGATGGACCGTGGAGGAAAGGATGCAAGGGTACGTGAGCGTTTTTTTTATTCGGCGCTTCGACATTGGGCGGAAGGGGGGGAGGGGGGGGTCTGGCTCCGGACCTCTGCTCAGTCAGTGCGACTGTTTCCAAGAGTGCGGCCTCTGGGGGAGCCTCCACCTGCCTGAAACAGGCCGCCAACAAAACAGCCAAGATCTACTCCATACAAAGGGGAGGGGGGGGTGGAGCCCGCGCCGATCGGCAAAACAATGAATAACACAACGGAGGGTGCCCTTGAGAAGGTTGCCCGTCCTTCCTATGCAGGCTGACTGCACCCATCCCGAGCCACAACGTGCTCCCCTCTTCCCAACTCTCCTCCCGGGGGGCCAGACGCCCTCTGGCAAGAGCCTGCGGAGCGAGCCAGCCAGCCCCTACCCAAAGGCCTGCAGCTGCCATGCGGACCCCACTCAATCTGACCATGCGATGCCCTGCGACTTCTGGAAACTACCTGCCATGGGCCTTGCAAAAAGGGCCCCCAGAAGCCCAAGCCAGCGCGCCCAGAAAGTCCAAGAGAGCGTCGAGAAGGCACAGGGTGGCCCTACGACGGTCCAGGATGGCTTCGAGACGGCTCACGGAGTCCCCCAAACGCCCCATGAGTGCTCCCATGTGGCTTCCAAGGAGGTCCCACAAGGCAAACATCATCCCATCCCTAGGGGAAACGCACATGTTTAGCATACTCGTCTTTTGTTCTCAGCCCAAACTGCTCCCAAAATGACACCAGGATGGCCCACAAGGCCCCCTAGCGACCAACAAGACTGTCCAAGAGACCCCTGAGACGGCCCCCGAGGTCCCCTAAGACGGCCCAGGGGAGCCCCAAGAGAGCCCCTAACAGGCGCCACAGATGGGCAATACGAACTGACATATCGAGCCTTTCCCCCACAGGTGGTCCCAAGAGCCCCCAGAGGCCCCGAAGAAGCTCCAACGAGGCCCCGAAGAAGCCCCCCGGATGCCCGCAAGAGCCCTCCAAGAAGCAACTGAAAGGCACCCCGAGAGCCCCCCATGTGCATCCAAGAGGCTCCTGACTCATTAGATCCAACTTCCACTATCGTCGCAAAATCTCTCTTCTTCTGGGGTTGGCCTTCCACAAGCATCCCACAGGGCAGTCACACCCTACGGCTTCCTCTGCGAGCTCCACCAATCCCTGCGAGCTCCACCAGTCCCGCTACTAAGCCATCATGAGAGCTCCTCCCTTGCCTCCTCCTGCTCCCCGCCCTCCTCCCTTTGTTCCGCCTCGCCTCCTCCACCCCTCCTCCGCCTACTCTTCAACATCATACCCATCCGCGTTATCTGAATCACACCTGTCACCACTCTCGTCATCTTCATCGTCCACGTCGTCGACTTCATCAGAATCGCCACTACCATCGTCAGCTAGAACCCGAGAACAAGCGCTGCCACATGCCTATCATCGTATACGAGGCAGCAATAAGAGTTGCAACGTACCCCATTGACACTTCCGACAACGTCGTTCCCTCAGCCTCCCCTTTCTCCTCGTCAGTCCATAGATGGTCCAGGCAGAAACTAAGCATTTCGTTTCTCTGGTCGACCCACAAGGGGGTCCAGCTAGAAAGGGGGTGGTGCAATAGATTTGGGGCAATTGTGTTGCAAATGTATTGCGCCGGAGAATTGTATTGCATTGTATTGCGACGAATGCATTGCACGCGAGAATCCAGCAATACGCTTGCGCCCCGATATGTATTGCACGCCCCAAATGTACTGCAACCCCACAAATCTATTGTACCAAATCTATTGCATCACCCCCTTGTCGCTGGACCACCTTTTGGGTCAACCCGAGTTTCCAGCTCGCGCACGCCCGCTCCCAACTAAACTGACCGTGACGACTCAAGAGGCTCCCAAGATATCCCCAGGCCGGCCCAGGCAGCCTCCGAGAGGGCCCCAAGGCAGCGAAAGAGGAACGCAGGATAGTCCAAGAGAGCCCCAGCGGGGCCCTCAGAGAGACGCCCAAAACAAGACAAGACAAGACAGCTCCCCGAATGGCGCGTGATGCGCCATTCGGGGCATGAGAATGCCACACGCTCGTGCGTCTCAGAGAGACGCCAAAGAAAGGTAACTCGCACCAACCTCCGGAGCTCTCCGGATTTCCCCCCCAATGGGACCCCCTACACAGCCAGCGACGCACGAGAAACTCCCCGGAAGCCCAGAGGCGTGCCAAGGGCGCCCAAGAAGCCCCGAAGGGCCTCACCCGTCGACTTCGTCCTTCCTCTGGGGGTCGGCGGAATGGCGTAAGCCTCTTGCATATCATGCAATGAAAGCAGGCACACCTGACGCTGAAATCCCATGAGAATGGGCATGATCCAATCCAACTGCTGCCATGCCGCGTTGAAATCAGAGAGCAAAGCCCGGTGCTGGCCAGAGGCATAAAGCGATTAGCGCTCCATTGATTTCGAGATTGATGCTTGAAACAGAAAGCTCGAGGAGCCTCGGAACTGAATAGAACTCCTCCCTCCGCCCAGCTTGAGAGGCAACGATAGGGGGGGACTGGCATAGGGGGGGAAACATCTACCTGGAATCCGCGATACATCGCCGATAGATCGGCGACAGGCCCCCGATAACAAATCCGGCCGTTCCTGGGCCGAGTGGGGCTATGATACCCCTATCGGCGATCAATGGACGATTGGGGGTCGATGCATCCCCCCCCACGGCTATTGCCCCCTATCGTTGCCCTTGACAGATTCCTCCTCCCCATCCTGATCTGCCTTGACTTCCCTCTCCGCTCCCGCTACCACCTCCTCCTGCTCCTCCCAGCCCCTCTCGGGTTCACCAGATACCTGCTTATGGCGAGCAAAGATTGACGAAAAACTGGCAAGAACTTGCGAATCAAAACCCGGGCGGTCCTCACCCGCTCGTAGAAGGAGACCTCGCAGAAAGCACTCTCAACTAGTGAAAGCGGTGGCCAGCGGAGAGAGAGAGAGAGAGAAAGAGAGAGAAAGAGAGAGAAAGAGAGAGAGAGAGAGTGAGAAAGAGAGAGAGAGAGAGCAAAACAACTGCGAAGATGCGTAAAAACTGGATGGCATGCGGCACGGAAAGAGCTGCCTAGTGCTTTGCATCATGTGTGTGTTGGGTGCACCGAGTGCCCCGTGCAGGCCAAGATTGTCCTCGTCGTCCTTCTCATCTGGCTTCCTCTCCTCCCCCCGACGAGCTCCTCCTCCATTCTCCTGACCCTGCTCCGTCTTCTCGCCTCCCTCCTCGACCCCCTCCCTCCTGCTCCTCCTCCTCTTTTCGCTAAGGTCGAGGGCTTCGGCATGGCGTCGGGTTGACCTGCTATGAATGATGTATCATCCATTGCCCAGTGCTGGCCGCCAAGTCTTTGCAGCATTGTTTTCCTTCGAGTGGGGCTTAGTGGGAACGTATCTGGCTGAGGGCATCCTGGTATTGTTTGTGGCCTGCTATCGAGGGCCATCGCTGTGGGTTCATATTATGAGAGACGGTCGTTGCAAATACGACAAATCATGTCTTCTGGCGTTTTCATGTGCATGGTACCCGGCATAGTGTTTGCAACTATCCTCGTTGGCTTGGAATGGTTGGCCGTTGATGTCAAAACAATCCCTCCTGGTCCGTACGCCGCTTCAGTGTCTACTCAGACATTGCCACCCATCCGGCCGATAGCCACAGCCACACACACACACACACATCGGGGGGGCCTCCCTGGCTAGTTCAAAGCAATACACAGCCTACGTCTTTGCCATCAGCATGGACGTGTTCGCGTCCACGTCGCACAATGCATGGCTAGAGAGAGAGAGAGAGAGACGGGGCACATTCCCCGCGGGCCAGGGCTGCATATCGTTGGCGCTCATCGTTTCAAGAGAAATCCGTCGCCGTGCCCTTTGATGCACGAGTTGGAGTGTCCTCTCGTCCTGTGCCGTATCCCTCGAGCCTCATAACCCCAATCCTGGAGAGTACTTCAGGGGCCCCGACCCCGGATTCCCGAATCTCTTGGGGCTTCCCGCGTGCATTCTGACTACCTACCAGACCACCCCAACCCAACCCGAAGGCACGAATTTGACCCGAATTTCGGGTTGGGGGGGGTACGGGGACCATGTGTTTTTTCGACGTTCCCCGATCCCCCCCCACTGGAAATGGAGGGCAAATTGAGGCCTTCGGGTTGGGCTGGGGTGGTTTGGTGGGTGGTGACATTCTGGGCTCACCCGCATCATGTCATATGACTTGTTCGGGGCCAAGAGGACCCCAAGACGGCCTAAGAGACCCTCACGAGGCTGCTATACGCTCGGTCGAAGACGCTCAAGGTGGCTCCAAGATGGCCCAAAACGCCTTCGAGACGCCCCAAGAGGCCTCCAAGAACCTTCCAACGAGAGCCTCGAGAGGCCAAAATCAGTGATGTTCCTTAGGTTCAATGCTGTGGGGATTCTCGACATTTTGAACTTCCGACGCTCCAAGACGGCCCAAGAGGCCCCCAGGACCGCCTCGAGGCGACCCCAGAGGCCCCCAAGAGGACCCAAACACGGCCCAAGAGGTCTCCAAGACGGCCCAAAAGGCGACCAAGACGGCCCAAGGAGGTCCAAGAGGGGGAACCCGATCAGAAAATCCGAGCCTTCCGCCCCAGGAGGCGCCAAGGAAGCCCCGAGAGGCCCCCAAGAGGCCCCAAGGGGCACCAGAGATGCCCCCACGAGGCCCCAAGAGGCCCCAGGAGGCCCAAAAGAAACGCCAAAACTCCAGGCGGCCCCCGAGAGGCCTCGACGAGATCACAACGAGCACGCAGGAGGCCTCAGACCCACAATCCAGGCACGGTGGCGGGATGGGCCGAAGGCCATCGGATCCGCCGCTCCCTGGGGTCTTGCCACAAGGGTGCACGGCGTGCTGGATGTCTGGGAGGTATGAGTTCTTTTCCAAAGACCTCCCCCTCTTGCCGTCGCTCGGACGTTCATTCCCCGTGCACGCTTTGGTTGTGTGCGTGTTTTTGTTGCTCGATGGTCCGGGATGCTCCTGATGGTCCTCGCCGAGGAAAAAGCGCACACGTCCGAGCGATGCCAAACCCCGGGGGTTTCGGCGCAGCCCGCCGGCCACCCAGAGAGCTGCGTAAAACTACGCCCGCCGTTGGCACAAACGCCTCCTGCATGGCCAAAATGGCCAAAGACGGCCTCAAAGGCGTCCCCGAGATGCCTCCATGACTGCCAAGATGACCCAAGATGGCCCCTCCAAGACGGCCAAGATAACCCCAATGGGGCCCAAGATGTCCTCCAGACGGCCCAAGAGCCCCATAAGACGCCCCGTTCTCGCCGTCTTGAGCTTCCGACGCTCCAACTCCGAAGATCGCCCCAAGACGGCCCAAGAGGCCCCCAAGAGGCCGGCAAGACGGCCCAAAAGGGACCCAAGACAGCCCAAGAGGGCCCCAAGACGCCCGACTGCCATGGAAGGGCCCAAGACAGCCTCTGAAGGCCAGGAGGCCCTCACGACGCCCTCGAGAGATCCCCAAGAGGTCCCCAAGAGGCCCCCAAGAGGTCCCCAAGAGGCCCCAAAGAAGCCCCCAAGAGGTCCCCAAGAGGTCCCAGGAGACCCCAAAGAGGACCCCAAGATGCCCCTTAGAGCCTCCGCATACGCCCACTGTCACAAGAAGCCCCCCAATAGTGCCAAGAGGGCCTCAAGAGGCCCCTTCTTCCTCCTCCGCCGCATCCTCCCTACCCTCCTCCTTTCTATTCCTCTTCGCGGTGTTCCCAAAGGAGTTCCACAGTGGCTGGGGAAGCACATAGTCCAATAGCTTGGCCCGACTTCGGCCCGGCGCTTCGCCGCGTGGGCGCTTCCCAAAGGCAGGGAGCGGCAGTGGCTCGCCGAACGCGCCTTCTGCAAGCTCCCGCTCGGACGCGGCGCGAATCTCCCGCGCGCCCCGTCGCCGACGCGCGACGGGGACATGAAACGTCGCTCTCGCCCCAGTGCGCGCGCAGCTGTCGCCTGCACGTGGTGCTCCCGCCCCGGCGCGGCGCCCGTGTGCCACTCGCCGCGCTCCGGGGGGCCACCACGCGCGCCGGGGCGACTCGCCGCCCCGTCGCCCATCTGGGGATCTTCTGCCCCGGGTCAACCCAGACCCGGGTGAGTCAGGCCTTGCAGACTCTTGCAAAGCCTGCACCCAAACCCGGGCCCACGCGGAGGACCCTGCAGGATCCTGCAGGGCCCTGCGCCCAGGCCCGGGCCGGTGCGCCCCTGGCACTGCAGGATCCTGCAGGGTCGGGCGCTCTGGCCGACCCCCGTTTGCATCGACCCCCGTCTCAAGTTGGCGGCGCGCAGAGGGGGGCAGGGCGAGGCGGGAAGGCTTCTTAGAAGCAGCCTCCTCCCAAGAAGCCTTCCCCCCTCCCCCGACCCGCCTCTGCGCGCCGCACGCTCTCCGGTGGCCGGGAGCCGCGCGGGCCCGGCAGGCGCCATACAGTCGGGGCGTTGACCGAAGGAATCCTAAAGAAGGAACGAGGCCTCCATTTTCCCATGAGTGAAACTTCGACTCCCCCTGAGAAGACCTCAGGGAAACCCAAGGCAAGCTGTACCGACCTCAACTACAGTCGGGGCGTTGACCGAAGGAACCCTGAAGAAGGAACGAGGCCTCCTTGTCCCCATGAGTGAAACTTCGACTCCCCTTGAGAAGGTCTCGGGAAAACCCGAGGCAAGCTGTAGAACAATCAAGGAACACTAAAACAGGGCTAGGATCGGGATAAATCGCTCCAGAACGTTCCGGAGCGCTCTCAGAGCGTTCCGGAACGCTCTGGAGCGGCCGCGGCGCCCAGTACATCCTCCAAACCCGCCGATTCTCAGAGATTTCGAGTTATCCCGATCCGATTTTGTCCCGACCTTCGCGTCGGTTGAGAAACCGCGCCCCTCCCCCAACGCAAAGGGTTCCTTCTCCAGCGCCCCGAGCTGTACAGCGCGCCCGCAAGGCCCGCGGGCGGAGCGGCGGCGCGGGCCCGCGGCGCCGCGCGCGAAGGGCGGCCCCGAGTGAGTGTGCCCCGCTTGACCGGCCCCCGCCCCCCGCGGCGCGTGGCCTCGGCCCCGCGGGCCGAGCTGGACCCCCCCCCTCCCCCGGGTGGGGTCATGTGGGCCGCTCCCCGTCCCCCGCGGCCCCTTTGACCGCGTATTCCCCGCGTCCCCCGCGGCGCGCGGCCTCGGCCCCGCGGGCCGAGCTGCGCCCCCCCCCCCCTTCCCCCGGGGGGGGGGAGGTGGGCAGCTCCCTGCGGGCTTCGAGGGGTGCATGCCCAACCTTGGGGGGTGATCTGGTGGGGGCCTCGACTGGCCAACGCTCGGACGTCCAGTTCCTGTGTTTTTGTCGGTTCCGTGCGTGGTTTTTTTTTTTCGCCAAACGATCGAGGATGCTCCTCGAGGGTCCTCGCCGAAGGAAAATGCACAGGTCGTCCGAGCGATGCCAGGTCGAAGGGGATGGGGATGGGGATGGGGATGGGGGTCGGTTGAACGATACGGAGCACAAGGGCGGCCGAAGTGCCCCCCCTCGCCCAGGGCGCCGCGGAGCCGGCGCGCGCGCTGGCGCGGCGGCGCGCCGCGCGGGCGCGGCGCGGGGCGGCGCCCTCGCGCCGCGCTGCCCGCGGAGGAGGGCTGCCGCGGCTGGCCAAGGCGCGGCGCGGGGCAGCTTGCCCGTGGCCAGCGCGTCGGAGCGCCTTCCGCTCGCTGAGCGGAGCCGCGTTCCAATCCCAGTAGCAGTCGGAGCGCCTACGCGAGGACACGCGACGGGGCACGAGACTGCTCCGACGGCAGCGTGGCCTGCAACAGCCACAGGACACTGGGGCACCCTTGGTCCGGACACGCAGAGGACACAAAAAGCGATGGAGAGGACACACGAGCACCCTTGATGTTGCAGGGTCGACCTGCCAATGCGCGCCGACCGTACCAAGCTGCGCCGCAACAGATTCTTGCGCCATGGGAAGAGGGTGGGCATGGGCCGAGGCCGCTGACTCGCTCGACCTGCCTGGCTTGATCCTCTCCCTCGGTGCCCCCCGTCCCTTCTACGCATAGACATAGCTCCTCCCTCTCGCACCCCCGGGCGCCTCGGCAGGGCAGGCCGCCGGGCGCTGCGTCTGAGAACCCCTGACCCTTCATGGTCCTGGAGCCCGAACCTCACAACGCGCACACCGACGGAGCCCATGCCGTGCTCCAAACGGGGCACCCGCTCGAGCGCCGCGCGCCTTCGACTCTTCGACGGCGCACCGGCTCCACGGACGGAGGGATGGCGTTCCCCTCAACGGGGCTCTTGCCCTAGCGCCGCGCACACCCTCTTGCGGCCATGAAGCAGTTGAGAGGATGGAGTGAAGGGGCCCCAACACACACAAAGAAATACACACAAATAAAGATATTCCCCATATTGTCGTATATTTTCTGGGTTTCTGTCTTCCCCACCACTTCCCATATTTTCCCAGATGTTCCTGGGAATCGACGATTAATTGTGTCTGTGTGCTTCTTTCCCTCCTGATGGAGGGCGATCGTATTCAAGATGGAGCTCTCGGCCGCGCACAGTCGTCTGGAAAGCCTGCAGCGGTTACAAGGCTGGAGGGTGGTTCGTCTTAAAGTGGGGGCTCTTTCGCATCTGCGCCGCGCGCCTTCGTCTTGAGCCACTGCTGCCCTCACGAGCCCTGTGGTAACGCTTGCAACATGCTGCAGTACGGAAGACAGGGGGCGATTCCTTGTTCGAAGCAGGGCGAACGCTCGGACGTCCATTTCCTGAGTTCTTTTCAGTTTCGTGCGTGGTTTTTCGCCAAATTATCAAGGATGCTCATCGATGGCCCTCGCCGAAGGAAAAATGCACACGTCCGAGCGATGCCAAGAACAGGGCGAACGCTTGAGACTTCCCTGGGCTCAGAAAGAAAAACAAAAACTTCACCAGATGCAGCAGCTGCACGGATGGAGGGCGGCTCCTCCTCAGAACGGGGGCACTCCTCATCTCCCGCCTCCGTCCATCCTCCCCTCCCTCGTCCCCTCTCCCTCCCTCCCTCCCTCCCTCCTCCCTCCCGCTTCCCTTCCTCGCCCCGCATGGGCCACGAAGGCAGGGGGGGTGATCGAGGAGAGCGCCCGGGACGAGGCCAGTCCTCTCCCAAAGGGGGAACAGCAGCGAACGGGCACGCCACGACGGAGCGCGCGCGCTCTGCTCTCGGACAAAGGCGGGTGCCCGTGTCCACTGCCAGCTTGGAGCCTCGGGGCTTTCCCTTCCCCAGAGGCCCGAGGCGCCCTGGACGTGGACAGAGATCTGGCCCCCGGAGGCTCGAGCTGCATCCTCCGTGTCCAGTGCGCCTCGGCCGCGTGGCGCCCCCTCCACGGCGCGCCGGGCACGGATGGAACGCGTGCCCGCGCCTCCGTCGGGCGTGCACCCCGCCGAGCGGCCCCGCCCCCGGCGGCCGCGGCAGGCGGCCCCCCGCGGCAGGGCGCGACCGCGGTGGGCGTCTTGCGCTTCGAGTGCGTGTTCAGCACCACCTCGAAGGGCTTGCCTGGGCTGGGGGTGCCCCCGCACCAGCGCGGGGTGCGCGCGCGCACCCCCGCGGAGTGGCGCGCGGCGATCCTCGCTCTCCCCCACACTCTCTCTCTCTCTCTCTCTCTCTCTCTCTCTCTCTCTCTATATATATATATATCACTGTCTCTCTCTCTCTCTCGCTCTCTCTCTCTCTCTCTCTCTTTATCTCTCTCTCTCTCTCTCTCTTTATATATGTACATGTATATATACACATATGTATCGCTCTCTCTCTCTCTCTCGCTATGTATCTGGTTCCCCCTTGTTCACACACATACTTACATACAAGCACACCCTCTGTCTATCTCCCTCTCTCCCTCTCTCTCGCTCTACATATATATACATAGGTATGTGTGTGTTCTCGTGTCTCTGGTATGCTATCCTCTCTCTCGCTATCTCTCTCTCTCTCTCGCTCTAGTCAGATCAGCTAAATTCACTGTGGACTCAGGTGTCGATGCCACCCGCCCCAAACAGCAGAAGAGCTAATGCAACGATACATTGATCAGCCTAAGCTGGCAACATCACGCCATATCTTGAGAGGAGCTGGGCAGGGCCCCACTTCTCCTCCCAAACGCCATGAACAAAGTCAGGAAACTCGTCGGGCTCAGCTCCGCCTGATATCTGGACCCCCTCGTACGACGCACGGATGAGGGCCACTAGATCAGAGGGGGAAGGCGAACGATGGCATGTGCCCGTCCACCTCCTGTAGTGCCGAGCCCGACTGGGGAAGCTCCCCATCGCGAATCCCGATCTGCGCTGTGGAAGGGCGAGTGAGGCAACACCACACCACGCATACCCTGCGCATTTCAAGCACGACACCACCCACCCACTCCCCCCCGCCCAACTCTGGTCGTTGGCAAAAACTTTCGCCGTGCACAAGTTGTGACCCCGAAAGCGGGTCAGGAGAGTGAGCTCCGTGAGCTGTTCAGCACTCCCTGGAACAGTCTTCGAACTATCAAAAAATTGCACCTTCTCGAATCCATCTTCCGAGCCTGACTGAGAAAAAAAAACTCTTGGGCGGATCGGTTTCCGTGTCTCGTGCCTGCACACGCATAGGGATACCAGACGAGTCCGCGCGACCTCTAGCGGCCATGACCACAAAATGGCACCCCAACGAACAGTATCTTCCTGTACAGTCAATCCGCGTAACATGTACGCACGATGTGGCTGCAAAGGCCTTGGAAAGCCATATCGACACTTTGCGAGCGGGGCGCGGAATGCGAAAGCGGCCAGGGATGGGCCGAAGGGGAAGGATCCAGGGGTAACCTTGGAAAGTCGCTCCTCCTTGCTATGCGGGTTCACTGTACCGTTCGTATCGCCTCCAGCGCCCGAATCTCCCGTTCCGGCGTAGGGTGCGCAGCCGCTCCTCTCTGCGCGAAGCGGCCTGTATACTCTTCGCCGGGAAGCCCCACATCGCTACACGCATCATGAAGGACATCGGCCGCCGTGGCATGGCCCATTAAATTTTCTGGCCCTCAACCCGTCCTCGGAAACGTGCCAATCCTTGCTCCAAACGTGGGCCCTGGGATTTTGGGACGAGCAGCTCTTGACCCTATCCCAGACACGCCCAAGAGTCCCAGAGCAATCAGTGCATATTTCAATGAACCAGGCGCAACCCCAATTAGGGTAAAGCGTATGGCATGGGAGCATCGCTGAGCGCATCGCTTGGCATTGCTTGGCATTGCTTGGCGCATTGCTGGGCACATCGCTTGAAGATTCTTGGGGAACGCAAAATGATCCCTGAAGGGTTCCTGAGGACTCCTGCCGATTCCTGAAGGAGGAGTCCTGAAGATACATTCAGGATGCCTGAAGGATTCGTGAGGATTCTGCGGATTCCCGAAGGATTCCCGAGTATTCTTGAGCATGCACTGGTCCCCACAAGAATGAATCCATGTTTTACGGCGCGTACGGTAAGATTGCGAAGGAATCCTGCGGTCGGTGTTGTAAGGATTCCGAATGTGTTGTCCAGATTCCCACAGATTCCCGAAGATCCCTGTGCGGTACCCGAAGGACTCCTGAAGATTCCTGCAGGTCAGCTGCCGACTCCTGGAGGATTCGTGAGGATGCCTGAGGGTTCCACAAAAATTCCTCACGGCTTCCTGTAGGCACCTTCAGATTCCTGAGGATTCCGGTAGCTTCTGGAGGACTCCGAAATGATTCCTGCAGGGTTCCTGAGGAATCCTGCAGGATCCCAGAAAGATCCCCAACGATTACTCAGAATTCGCTGCTCCCCCTCCCCCCCTCGGGAATTATCTTGTGCCCTAACGATGTCGCCACGTGGTTTCCCCCCTCCGGATTATTCTTTTGTGCTAATACTAGCACACTGGATTCGCTTGATTGGTTGCCATCGATAATCGGATGATTTTCAAAGACTATCGCCGTGGCCGTGCACGTGTTCTGGCCCTCTGTAGAGTGGGCCGCCGTGGCCCGTCGAGCTGTAGAACGCCTAGGTCTGCGTGGCCTGCGGCACTCGCCGTCACGTGGATATGGCCGCGCGTGGGCCGTGGATGCTCCGTTCCAGGGTGTGCGGGGGCGCGCGCGGGAGGCGAGCGGGAAGATCATCGATTCCTCGTCCTCCCTCTGAGGAGGAGGACAAAGGGAGGGCGAGGAAGCGATGGTCGTTCAGCCCCTCTTTCACCCCACACCACTTTCAAACCCTGACAGAGGAGGGTTTGAAGAGAGGGGAGGCTCCCCCTCGTCAAGCCCTCCTCTGTGAAGCTCTTGGGTCTGGCGAGGCCCCGCAAGCGAGATCGTTGCAACGACAGGTGTGGCCAAGGGAAGCAACGAAGCACGCTCAGAATTGCATGGGTATAAAAGGGACATCAGCTGGACAGATCTTGCTGTCGTCCCCGCAGAACCCCTGGAGTGGCGTCGCACGGCAGTGTTGCCGAACGCGCTGTTCTCATGCTCTTTGTCCATGCACGTGCGCAAACGGCTGCCTAATGCTCCAGTCCCATACCCCCCGATTCTCCACATGATGCCCGACCCCCTCCACCATCGTCCTGAACACCCCCCTCCTCTACCCAACGCTCATCATCCGTGCCCTCCTCCCCGTCCTCCTCCTCCCCCTCCTCCTCCTCCTCCTCCTCCTCTTCCTCCTCCCCAAGATCCTCCTCCTCCTCCTCCTCCTCCTCCTCCTCCTCCTCCTCCTTCTGCTTCTCCCCCTCCCCATGCGTCGCATTCCAACCGAGGGCGCCCGAATAGGCATGAGGCCAGGAGATGTGCAGTGCGGAAAAGCTGGCATTCGACGATACGCGTGAAGACAGGGATGCGGATGACAACCAGGGCACGGGCGAGGAGAAGGACGACTGTGAGGAAAAAAAGGAAAAGCTGGGAAGATGGGGGGGGGGGAAGGAAGGAAGAGCCGGGGGGAAGAGGGGAGCAGAGGGGGGGGAGGGGGAGGGAGGAATAGGACGAGGACGACGGGGGGGGAGGTGAGGTGGGGAAGGGCCAGATAAGGGGGGAGGACGAGGCGCAGGACGCGGAGCGGAGAGGGGCTCGGAGCCACAGGAGGCCCCAGGTCTCTCCGACGCTGCGGGCTCTGTCGCGACGCGGGCCCACGGAAATGCCGAACCCGTCCCCGGCGACCTGCGCTTTTCGCCGCGGGTAGCTCGCTTACTCCAGATTTCGTACTAAAAGGGAGGGGGTCTGGACCCTCCAAGACAAGCCATTTCAGACCTCCCCCGTGGGAGAACCCTCCAAAACATCGTCCCCAGACCCCCCAGGCCCTCCAAGATAGCCTGGAAGAGACCCCCCCCCGAAATGAGACCCCCCTCCCTTTATTACGAAATCTGGAGTACCCTGGGCTTGGCAAGGGCCCATGGAGGCCGAAATGGCGAAAGGCCTTCCGTCAGAAGTTCTTCGCGGTGCGAGGAGCTCTTGTCGGGCCTCCCAGATGGGGTCGGAGCAGATGGAGTCAGAGGATCGCGCCGCATCGCCGACACATCGGCGATGCATCGGCGATGCATCGGCGTTGCGCCGGCGATGCATCGTCGACGTCGGCGATGCATCGGCGGCGTCGGCGTGAAGCAAATCGGGCCCCACATCGGGCCGCATCGGCGATGCATCGGCGATGCGGCGCGATCCTTCGACACCATCTACTCCGACCCTATCCGGGAGGCCTTGAGTTAGGCCGGGCGTGTCCCCCTATAGGTGGATTTCGGACGAAAAATGACAAACAACTAGTCAAACATAGTTAAAACAAGCTCTTAAATAACAGAACATCTGCTCCGCGAGACCCCAACTACAGGAGAGCCCAGAACCAGATCGTAAAAATCGGATCGGCAGGAATCGGCAGCCGAGTCGGGAGAGGTCAGATCGGCGGAGGTCGGCAGGCCAGTGGGGCTCCGCTGAGAGGTCGGGATCTATAGATCGGAAGCCGAAGTCGAGTCACATCGGACTCGGAAGACATCGAGGCATCGAAATCGAACAGGGATCGAGTCGGAGGCATCGGAATAAGCCCTGCATATAGGAGGCCTGGATCTTGAGAGAACGGGGATCGGAAGCTGGGCGAGGGAAATCCGTGGCTGCTAAAACGGTATTCCTGGAAGAAAAACACATTCCTGAAAGAAAAAACTCAGCGCGCTAAATAGTAAACTGGCTGCTTCCCGGAGGGGCGACAAAAACAAAACAAAAAACAAACCAGCAAAACACAAAAGCAGAAACAGAAAAAGGAGCTCCTGTTTAACAGCCACAGATCTGCCAGCCTTCGCCTGGCTTCTGAGGGGAGGAGGATGGGGAGAGGTAGGGGGCCACATGCGAACCCTGCCCCTACCCCCCACGATTTCTGAGGGGGAGGGTGGGGTTCACGCCCAGGATGGGCCTGGCCGCGATCGGGGTGGCCAGTGGGACGTCGAGGACGGCAAGGATGAGGACGCCCACGAGAACGACGAGGAGGACGGCGAGAGGACAAGGACGAGACGACGAGACGGAGGACGAGACGACGGAGGGGACGAGGACGACGAGGACGAGGACGACGAGGAGGGTGGACGACGAGGACCAGGACGAGGGCGAGGACGAGACGCGGAGTCGGACCCCCCCCATTGGGGAGAACAGAAGGTACCGATACCGCTACTCCCCAGGCCCCAGACTCTTCCCAGGGCGCGTTCTGACCAGGATCTCGAGGCGAATCCGGCGGTGGCGACGAGGGCCTCCGAGGAGGCCCGAAAAAGGGGAAAACGACGGGAGGGCAGAGACATGGGTACCTTGTCCTCCTCTGACCCCCTCCTCCTCCTCCTCCTCCTCCTCCTCCTCCCTCCACCCCTCCTCCTCCTCCTCCTCCTCCTCCTCCTCGCCTCCTCCATCCCCCTCCTCCCCTCCTCCTCCTCCTCCTCCTCCTCCTCCTCCTGCTCCTCCCCCGCCTCCTCCGCCTCCTCCTCCTCCGCCTCCTCCTCCTCCTCCTCCTCCTCCTCCTCCTCCTCCTCCTCCCCTCCTCCTCCTCCCTCCTCCTCCTCCTCCTCCTCCCCCTCCTCCTCCTCCTCCTCCGACCCCCTCCCCCTCCTCCTCCCACCCCCTGGCGGGCAGCCCCGCCGGGGGGCCGGCCTGGGGCACAGACGGCGACCTGGGCGCGCGCGGCCACCGCGCGGGCGGGAGGCGCGGGCGCGCCCCCGGGAGGCGTGGCGCGTGCGCGCGGCCCCTCCTGCGGGCACCCGCCCCGCGGGGACGCCGCCCGGCGGCGAGCCCCCGAAGCCCGACGCTCCGACAAAACACCTGGAGTGGCCTGCTTCTGTGGAAGGAAAGGAGAGCACGCCACAAACAGAAACGTTTGGCGCTCCCCGCGGAGTTCTTGGATCGGCGCTGGGCCCCCTGCGGCGCCTCCGGCGCGCTCCGCGCGCCAGGGAGGGAGGTCCAGCGCCGATCCAAGAAATCCGCGCGCAGCGCCAAAAGCTCGTGTTTGTGGCGTTTTCTCTTCCTTCTTCGATGTTGGCCGTTTTCGGCCTGAAGGGGCCCTCGCCGGGCCTCGGGGCCGCCGAGAACCGTCTCCGTGCGGAAAAGACAGTCCCTGGGGAAGTGGTCCAGGCCTGCGGGGCCCACGTATCGAAAGAAGTGGAGTGGCTGGGTGTCTGGGAGGGAAGAATGGGCGTGGATGCGTGTGGCAGCGTCCAACCTCCCTTGACAATTCCTGGGGGTGATTCTGACTGGCAGACTCGCTGGACTTTCGCTGTGTTGGACCAGACGGCGGGAAAACGAAAACAGGTGTGCGTATGTGTGTGTGTGCGTTTGCGTACAGATATACGATTGGCCCCAAAACGGCCCCCGAGAAGCCTCAAGACTGCCTCCAAGAGGCCCCAGAAAGGCCCCCGCGAGATCCCAACGAACATCCAATTGGCTGTCTAACCGCAACCCAGGCACGGTGGCGGAATGCATGGGCCGAAGGCCATTACATCTATAATAATAGCAGCAATGAGACTTGTAATAACACATGTGTTATGGAGTATGAATAACACACTTGATATAAATACGAGTATTAAACTATCATACCTCTATAACAATAGTAATAATACTAATAGGAGTGAAAACAATAATGATACTACTAATACGACGGATCAACATACTAATAATGGTAACAGTGGTAAGAATAATAATGCGAATACTACTAATACGTAGAATGAGACTGTTAATGATAGAAATAGTAATGGTAAGCTTATCAATGTTTATAGTAATAGTAACAAGCAAGAATACCAAGAAAAAGAATGATATGAATACGATCGTCAAGGTGAAAGATAACGAAAGAGTGAGAGAGAGGCAGATCAAGAGAGAAAGAGAGGCGCAGGCAAGACACATGCATACACGAGAGACAAAGGAAGAGAGAGAGAGAGAACAAAAAAAGAAAGAAAAAAAATGAGACACACAAAGAGAGAGAGAGAGGGAGACAAGAAAGGGACCTCCGAGTCCTCCCCTTCTCAGGTGTCCCGTGCATGCCTAGAGGCCGCCTAGATGGGGTCGGAGTAGACGGGGTCGGAGGAGGCCCAGCATGCCGGTCCCTCCCTTCAGGCCCCTCCTGGACGCCCACGTCGGCTGCGCGCACAGGAGTGGTCCTCGACCGACCCCCCGATCCTCGATCGACCCCCCGATCCTGGAAGTTCCCTCACTCGATCCTCGATCGATCCTCGATTATGGATGCTTCGATCCTTCGATCCCTCGATCCCTCGAGGAGGAGCGGGGGGGGGCAGGGGGCGCTGGAGGCGTGGGGGGGGGGGCGGAGGGGGAGGGGGGGGGGGGGGGCAAACCAGGTGCGCTCGCGCCGTGTGATGTGGGGAGGGGGGGATCAAACCGAATCGCGCCGCAAGTGCACGTGTGAGCCCTGCGCAAGCGGCTGTTCTTGTAGACGAGCGCGTTCCACTCCTCGCGAAGTAACTGCTCGCAAATGGCCTCGACCCGCTGCGGGGGATCTACGAGAAAGTTCGTCGGAAAAACATGTGTTTTTCGGACGTTTGCGAGTACTCCAGATTTCGTAATAAAGGGAGGGGGGTCTCATTTCGGGGGGGGTCTCTTCCAGGCTATCTTGGAGGGCCTGGGGGGTCTGGGGACGATGTTTTGGAGGGTTCTCCCACGGGGGAGGTCTGAAATGGCTTGTCTTGGAGGGTCCAGACCCCCTCCCTTTTATTACGAAATCTGGAGTAGGCACTTTGCGAGCAGCGCAACGCGCTTGGTGATTCGGGGAACGGGGATCACCCGAGCTATCCAGGGCCGGGGCAGGTGCCAGCCGATGACCTAACCTTCGCGCCGTGGGCAGCCTCGCGCCTGCCCGCGCGCACCGCTGCTGCGGCCCCATACAGCTGGTAACAATGCTGCGACGACGCTACTCTTCGTGCTGCAGCGACGCCGTCTGAAAATGTCGAAAGAGATGTGTGGAAATGTTTTACCGACAAGGTGAGGTCAGTCGCCGAGGGGGGGGGGGGCTGAAGAAATAGCCTCCGACTGCTCTCGGGGGACCCCCTTCTGGACCCGCACCACAGGCCAGGCCCTGGCGAAAGGTCCCTGCTACGTGTTGCCAATGCTGCCCGCTCGGCCCACCCGCCCGGCCCTTGCAGCGCGGAGCCTTGAAGAACTGGGAGCCGAAATCGATGGCCATGAGAAAAGCGCTCCCGCTGGGGAGGCCGGCCTCGGCAGATGCGGGAGGAGCAGGATGACGAAAGGGCAGGGGAGGAGGAGGAGGAGGAGAAGGAGGAGGGTACTGGGTCAGTGCTGAAGGACGCCGTGTCCGAATCCTACGACGGGGGCTTACGTGCCAAACGCAAAGCCCTGAAGCAGAGAACACGGCTCCATCCTGAAGGGGCCCCAGGACACACAAATAAATACACACACATAACAATATTCCCTGTCTTTCCCCATATTTTCTGGGTTTTTGTCTTCCAACCCACTTCCCATAGTTTCCCATATTTTCCTGGGAATCGACGATTAATTGTATCTGTGTGTTTTTTCCCCTCCCGACATCCACGCGCCGCAACGGCGCGCCGCACCAGCGAGGGGACACAGCCCCGAGCGGGCCCCGCGGCAGAACGCGCCTCCCCCCGCGCGCGCTGCTGGCAGCGGCACTCCGCGTGAAGCGAGGGCCCGAGGACCACCCGACGGTGCGCTCCGCCGCGAGCCTGCACACCAACTGTGCCTCGGCACCCACACCGGAGGAGGAAGAGGAGGAGGAGGAGGAGGAGGAGGAGGAGGAGGAGGAGGAGGAGGAGGAGGAGGAGGAGAGGAGGAGGAGGAAGGAGGAGGGGGAGGAGGAGGAGGAGGAGGAGGAGGAGGAGGAGGAGGAGGAGGAGGAGGAGGAGGAGGAGGAGGAGGAGGAGGGAGGAGGGAGGAGGGAGGAGGGAGGAGGGAGGACTGTGCCCCGACCCGCGCAGGGTCGGGGGCCCTGGAACCACCTGCGCCCGAGCAGGCAGTGGGCCCAGGACCACCTCCGCAGGCACTCCTGCCGAAGGGGGGCCAGGTGGCACGTGTCCATTCGCCTCCTGAGGAGGCGAATGGATACGTGCACAAGTCAAGTCATACCGCACTCGCGCGCACGCACACATGCACGCACGTGGAGGAGGGCCCTCAGCTACTGTCAGCAAACATTTCACAATCCCTAACGGCCTCCAGCGGGCCCGTAGCAATCCTCAACACCCCTACAGGCAGCTCGGAGCGGGAGGAGCAGGACCAATTGAACCTTCCGTCAGTGACCATCAGACTCCTCCGCCCACCATGGTGGCACGGAGCGGCCCGTGCAGAACTCTGGCCTGCCCCACCATGCTATACTTGCTGTATCCCCCCCGATCGCAGACAGAGCCCCGAGGACGGGGACTGCTCCCCGCCTGGCCGCAAACGGCCGGGCCCTTCCTGCCGCGACGCGGCCCGCAAGGGCTGCGACTGCGGACCGCCTGCTCTCTCGCGACGGAGACCCACGGGAACGGGTGCTGAGGAGAGGAGAAGCAACAGAAAACCGGGGAGGAGGAGAAGACGGAGGTTGGAGGCCTGGAAATGGGCACCAACACCAAAACAGGGGGTTGTCTCCACAGGGGGAAGATGATCCTAGATTTCGGTGTTGGTGGTAATATTTCGGCCACCTTGGAAGCCAGAAGATTACCACCATCACCGAAATTAAGACCTTCTTCCCTCGGTGGAGGCACACCGCCGATCTTGGTGTTCGTGTCAGCCTCTGGGCCTGCGAGGAGGGGAAGCAGCAGCAGCAGCAGCAGCAGCAGCAGCAGGAGGGCAACGGCGACGGCGACGAGGACCGCGCAGGGCGAGGAGAGGGCGGAGGGGAAGGGGCAGAGGCGGGGGCGGGCGAGGCGGCGGGCGAGGACCGCCGCGGGGGGGAGGGAGCGAGGACGAGGACCGCGAGAGGCGGGCGAGGACGCGGCGCCCTGCCGGGGGCAGCCGGGGCGCCGGCAACGAGCAGCAGCCCCGCGGCTGGGAGACGCCATGGCCACGGTCTGGGCCTGGGGGGCAGCAGCGCCAGCCTGGTCCTCGTTTCCTCGTCTTCCTCCTCCTCCTCCTCCTTGTCCTCCTCCTCCTCCTCCTCCTCCTCCTCCTCCTCCTCCTCCTCCTCCTCCTCCTCCTTATCAGTATTATTACTGGTCCTTTTCCTCCTCCTCCTCCTTTTCCTCTTTTTCCTCCTCCTCCTCCTCCTTTTCCTCCTCCTCCTCCTCCTCCTTATCAGTATTATTACGGGTATTAGTATTACTGGTATCATTCGCAATAGTATCGATATGGTTATTCAGATATTCATATTTCCTGTTATTCGTAATGTTATCATTCATCGTATTCTTATATTGCAACTGTTCTTGTAACAAATACCAATATTATTAGTCTGCATATTCTTTTTCTGCTTAGCAGTACGATTCGCATTGTTACTCTTAATAGTATCACTCGTAAAAATGGTTCGCAGTATTACTCCTGTTGTTCTTAGTAATATCAGTATCATCTGTAATATTGTTCATATTAGTAGTCGTATGGTTCGTCTTCTTCTTTTTACTAGTGGTATTATTATGATTAGTCTAAGCATTGCTCATATTACTATTCATAGTACTAGCTTACATGTTTCGTCTTAGTCGTCGTCATCTTCCTCTTTTTTCCAGCGCCTCCTCCTCCTCCTCCTCCTCCTCCCCCTCCTCCTCCTATTGCCCCCCCCCCCCCACAAACACACCTTCTCCCACATTTCCATCCTCCTCCTCCTCTTCCTTCTCCTTGGGTTACTGGGTTACTCGCTACCCAGTGCGCCGTACAAGCACAGCACACTGCAGGGGAAAAAGTTACTGCGCCCTCCTCGCCGCTCGCTCGCATTTCGCGGCCCGAGAGTGGGAGAGCGATGGAATTGGTGATTGCAAGGTACGTCCCAGGCAGGAGCCTCCTCGTGAGCTTCCTGCTTTCTGACGAGACCTTCCCGTCGCAATGTCCCCTGAGCTTTGGGCCCGCTGTGAACGTAGCGAAACCACCAAAGTTGGCTCAATGCACCACAGGGATCCCAGAGCTGTCGACCGACGCGACGTGAAGTTTGCGGTGGTTCCCGGGGCCGCTTAAGAAATTAGCCTGACGAAAAATCCAACCATATGCAGCTGCGAATACCGCATTGTGGGTACAACTTTCGGTGACGACTACTACTACTACTACTACTACTACTACTACTACTACTACTACTACTACTACTACTACTACTACTACTACTACTACTACTACTACGACTACTAACTACTACTACCTACTACTACTACTACTACTACTACTACTACTACTACTACTACTACTACTACTACTACTACTACTACTACTACTACTACTACTACACTACTACACTACTACACTACTACACTACTACACTACTACACTACTACACTACTACA